ACGTGCCTTCTCAGGAAAGGAGGCAGACAGGCCTGGGTTTGAATCCTGGCTCCACCCCTCATGAGATTTTTTACCTCTTCCTGCCTCTGCTCGTCTGTAAAATGGGAGTAACAGTCCCTCATAGGGTTTGGAGAGCACGGAATGAAATAACATAACGTGCCTCGGGGGGGAAGCTGCCCTCCATACGTGGCAGCTCCTCTTAGCCCACTGCTGGTGACCTGAGGCAGGCCCACAAATTTAAGTGGAAAGCATCGGACACATAAGCCTTTCCAGATTCTAGTTCTGAAGATGCATCTGATCCTAGGAGGAGTCTTGGGTGTATCACAAACCCTCCTCAACCACAATTCCATAACCTCTTTCAGCCAGGCACTCCCTGACACTTCTTTAAGTTGCTTTTTATCCATTAATTCTGTAAATATTTACTGAGCTTCTCTGCGTACCTGGGACAGAAAATGAGTAGGCCACGGGGTTAACAACCTGGATTCCAGCGGCGCCTGGGTGGCTCAGTCGTTAAGCGTCTGCCTTCGGCTCAGGTCATGATCCCACGGTCCTGGGATCGAGCCCCACGTCGGGCTCCCTGCTCCGCGGGAAGCGTGCTTCTCCCTCTCCCACTCCCCCTGCTCGTGTTCCTTCTCTCTCTCTGGCAAACAAACAAACAAAACCCAACCTGGATTCCAAACCCGCCTCTGCCACAACACCTGTAGGACTCTGGACAAATGAATTAACTAACCTCTTTAGGACTCAGTTTCCTCATCTGTGAAATGGGGTGATAAGTGCAGTTACCGCATCAGCATACCAGGCATACCTCGCAAGTAGGAAATGCTCACCAGCAGCAGTCATTGTGATAGGTGTAGGATTGGGGGGGGTGGGAGCTGCCAGCTCCTCACGGCCTGCCCTCCTCACGCCCTCTCTCCAGGACATGGTGACCTACTTCGTGAACCTGAGCCAGGCGAACGCGCAGGGCACCCCGCTCTGGGAGCTCGAGTACCGGCTCACCGAGGCCTACGGGGTGCCCGACGCAGGCGCCCGCTCCATGCACGCGGCGCTGGGCCGCATCGCCGACGACCCCGGCGCGCTGCAGCGCTACTACGTCTACAACTCGGTCAGCTACGACCGCGAGGCCTGCGGCCCGGCCTGCCGCGCCGAGCACGTGTGCGCGCTGCGCGAAGTGGCCTTCGACGCCTACGCCGCCTGCCTGCGCGCCTCCGGCGCCGCGCCCGCGCCCGCGCCCCAGCTCGCGCTCCTGCCCGCGGCGCTGCTGAGCCTGCGCGCGCTGCTCGCGCCCTGACCCCGGGCCGCGCCGCCACACGTGCCCGGCGGCCGCAGCGGGAACTGGCGTGGAGCAGCCGGATAAGGAATGGAAGCGCCCAAGACTTCCCCCCCCACCCCAGCGCATGTTTTTCTTTCCAAGTTTCATCCAAAAAAAACAATGCTCCTCTTATTCTGTGCGTTTTTCCTTTTCATATGTAAACAGTGTTTCCGGCAACTCCCGTACTGAGTTACTGAACAGTTATGAACGTCCCCCCCCGCCCCGACCCCCTGCATTTGGATAATCGGGAGTAAAATGAGCCCCGGGAAGATGCGCCTTAGGGATCCCGGGCCCTCGTTCTCCCCGGTCCTCGCCCGCACTCGAGGCACACTCAGTCTGCGAAGTCCCGCAATCGGGGATCAGGACGGGCCTTTTTGTTCTGCCACAACGCGGACGTGAGGGGTCGCGGTTCGACCCCGGGCCCTACTCCCCAGGCCACTTCCGTCGTCTCCGGCCTTCTTTTGCCTCAACTGCAACGCGAGGCAATTAGAAGTCGGCCGGGCTAAGGAAGGGCGGTGCGGCCGGGGCGGGCCGTCTTCGGGCCTGGCGGTCCTCGGGGCTCAGCGGGGCTGCGTGCGCGTAAGGGCCACGGGCGGGGGCGGCCTTCTGGGGCGCAGACGGCCAGAAGTGGGGAGCACCGGCGCCCCCAGCCGCGGGGTCCGCGGGGCCTTGCTCCTCCCCGGACAGGGCGGGACGGGGAAGTCCCGCCCAGGAGGCCCGGGCCCTGGGAGGCCCTTAGGGCTGCGCCCGCCTCCTTCCTGCCGCGGCGACCCCGGGCGGGGAGGGCGGGTCGGAGCCTAGAGGAGAGGGAGGGGGCGAGGCTGGCGGGTCATGCCCTGGTTGCCCCGCGCCACGCTCCTCTGGGACGTGGTCCTGGGCTTTTTGGGCACCGCCACCTTCCTGATCGACCTGGGCGCCGACCTGTGGGCCGCGGGCCAGTATGTGCTCAGCGGCCGCTACCTGTGGGCCGCGCTGGTGCTGGCGCTGCTGGGCCTCGCCTCGGTCGCGCTGCAGCTCTTCAGCTGGGTCTGGTTGCGCGCCGACCCCGCCGGCTTGCACGCGCCGCAGCCCCCGGGCCGCTGCCTGGCGCTCCTGCATCTCTTGCAGCTGGGCTACCTGTACAGGTGAGCACCACGCCCTCGGGAAGAGGGAAACGGAACGGAGCCCAGCGGCACCTGCGGCCGGGCCACCAGCACCGGGGAGAGCCTGACACCGGGAAGGGGGTGGGAAGGAGAGGATCGGGGGCCCAGGAGAGCAAGTTAAGCCCTGTGGGCAATTCTGCTGACAGGTGAGCTCCCCGCCCCCCCACCCCCCCCCATAGAAAGAGAGGCCGGCTGAGAGCCCTCAGAGCCCATCTAGCCCTACCCTCCCTGGCACTGGGGAAGAAACTGAAGCCCAGAGAAGAAAAGGAGGCACAGGACTTGGAGTCAGACTTGTCTGGGCTCCCGTGCTAGCTAATTTACCATCTGTGGCCTCATTCCTGCCTTCTCTAAGCCTCAGTTTCCTCCTCTGTGAAAAGGCGGCAGGAACGTAGAGACAGGTCTGGCAGGCGGGCCTGTTGTGGGCAGTGAAGGCAAGAGCCGAGTGTGCCTAGCTTGGTGCTTGGCTGTTGGTGGACTCTAATGGCAGACCAGTGATGTGTTTCATACAAAAAATGTTCCTTTTTGCTGTGGGTGGAGTCTTGGGCAAGTTACTTGAGCCCTCTGGGTCTCAGTTTACTCATTGTTCCCGTGGGGATGGTTGTTGCGCCTGCCTCTGTTTGGTAGGGATTCAACGCAATTAAACGAAATAAGACCTGTAAGTTGCTTTGGCGCAGAGCAAGCCTTCAACAAATTACCGGGGTCACCCAGGATCTTCAGCAGCCCTGACCCCCAGAGCAGAGCTTGTTCTCTCAACCCCTCCTCCCCTCCCCGCCCTCTCACCCCCAGAGCAAACAAGAGCGCAGCGATGGGGTCTGACTCATCCGTGTCCCCTGAGCCAGCCAGGGCTGGACACAGGCTGGGTTCCAGCAAATCTGTGTGGGCTGTACTCCTTCTCAGAACCGGCAGGGCCCTCTAGAGATGAAGAAGCTGAAACCAAGGGATCAGCGATGGAGTCAGGACACCATGTGGTCTGGGTTGGGATGAGGTGGCTGGAGCCAGGATCTGCTCTTGAATCCATTTTGCAGATTCTCTCCAGATCTTGCTTTGACAAAGCTGCATTGAGCCTCTAGGAGTGGACAAGAGGAGCTTTGAATGTTGCAGTTTTGCCTGAGGGACTGCACGGGCCTCGATAAAATGCCAAATGGGCAGGAAGGAGGGCAGTTATTACAGTCCTGGCAGGCCTCAAGGAGCCCTGAACTCATAACTATGTCATGCATCCTCCCTTCTCCTATTTCTGCTGAGCATGAGGCAGGCAGGCTTTACTGAACTTTGGTTTTGAAAATGGGGTCTCTGTTCCTGCCTTTGACTAGAGAGGCAGGTGCCTTGGGGGACCCGGGGCAGAGGCTCCTGCTGAGGGAGAGCCCCAACCTGGGCCTGCCCCCCTACTCCTTTGTGTTGTCAAGTTCCAGGGCAAGTGACTGTAAATCTGATGAATGAATTGGCACTGAGTGAATGGGCTCACCTCCCAATAGCCAGCTAAGATCAGTTCCGGGTGGGGGAGATCAGGGTGCATCTTCCACTGCCCCCCTCATGCCAGTGGGTCACCCGGGCCTGTCTGTCCAACCTCTGGACTCCCTTAACTCTGTGTCAGTCTCCATGCCCACCACTCTGGACAGTCCTCTTAAATGGATCTTCCTTCCGGTCTTACCCCTTTCCCCTTCCACTTCTCCACGGCCAGAGAGAGCTTTCTACAGCACAGTCTGACCTTTCCTGCCTGTGCCCAGAAGCTCTCAATGGCTCCCCTTCCCCCACAGGGTCCTAAGAAAATCTTAGGCTTGCTAAAATTTGAGAACTACCACCTGGGGCAGTTTCATAGTATGCCTTTGAAATTCACACAGCTTTGGGTCCGAATCCTGTTTCTACCATTTATTAGCTCTTTGGTCTTGTTTCCCCGTGTGTCAAATGGAGGTGTTGTAAAGAGTAAATGGAACAGGGTTTGTGATGACCCCGGGACATCCTGGCCAGCCCGGGCGGTGGTAGTTGGTACCGATCCCCATTTTACGATGAAGAACGAGTTCGGCGAGGTTAAGTCACTCGTGCCCAGGGCCCCACAGCATGTCAGTGACGAGCTTGGAGTGGAGACCGCCCGCATCTACGCACGGGGCGAGGGGAGGTGGAGCGCAGCGGACACTAACCTGGCCCCTCGGGGCATCCATACCCCAACTGCCTAGGTGTGTGCAGGGGCTGCAGCAGGGGCTCCTGGTGTGGCAGCAGGAGGCGCCCTCCGAGTTTGACCTGGCTTATGCCGACTTCCTAACCCTGGACATCAGCATGCTGCGGCTCTTCGAGACCTTCTTGGAGACGACACCACAGCTCACGCTGGTGCTGGCCATCGTGTTGCAGAGCGGCCGGGCCGAGCCCTACCAGTGTGAGTGATGGACCGGGGGCCAGTCCCCCTTTATGGCGTGGGGGGGCTTCCGACGAAGGGCAGGAGTGTTTTCACTCTTCGATCAAGGCTGCTTAGAAAACAGGAGGATGTCCCTTAGGTAGCTCTGTGTTCAATTCGGAAGTTGCTCCTTGGCCTTCCGAGTGAGGACAGATGGAGTGTGGGAGGGCGTGGTGGCCGAGCGCCTGCCGCCCACCGGGCACCGTGCCAAGTGCCTCGCTGTCATGCTGCTCACACGCACAGCGGCCCTGGAGGCTGGTGCTCTTTCTTCTCTCCACCTGACACGAGAAGCAAGAGGTGCAGAGAGAAGTGATCACCGGGGCACACAGCACTCACTGGGCAGATACTTCTGTTTGTTTGCCGCCGTGGGTGTCTAGGATCAGGGCTACCTGGGGACGGTCTCCACTGTGTGTGCAGGGGAGGCAGGGAGCGAGGGAAGAGACAGATTTCCCTAACTTTTTATTTCACGAACATTTAGTTAGCTGCTATTATGTGCCAGGTACTGGGCTGCTGGGGACCCCAAGGGAGCAGAATGTTTTGTACCCTGGAGGAGCTCAGAGACAAGGCAGTAGAGAAATACTGTGTGCTAAGACCCCAGACAGAAGGGGGTGAGGTGTTACAGGTCCCCTGTGGGGTGGGGTGGGCTGGGGGGATGACTCTAGGGAAAATTCTGGCTGGTGCTCGCAGGGCATGTGCTCCCGGCCTGCCCGATATTGTGGGCTAAGCTTGTCCAGGTCAGTGAATGCAGCACACGAGGCAAACGGCAAGGATATCAGCCCCGCTGAGACCTAATGTGGGCTAGTTAGAAAGGACGTTGCCCCAGATCTGCTCCCAGGGTGGGGGTGGCTTCCTGGTCCACAACAGGCTCCCAGTAAACATCTGTCGACTGACCGCAGTGGGAAAGGGCGGGGAGTGAGCATTCTAGAGACATTCCAGTGCTGCCTTCACCCCTCCCTGGAGATCCTGGTGCTTCTAGTCCGGGAGGTGGGAGAGGATCTCCACCATAAACTTCGAGTGTTGGAAAAAATCAAGGCGAAGGCCCAGTCCGAGCCGGGACGTTCTATCTGTGTGGCAGGGCCTGGCCCTCCCGGCCTGGAGGGTAGCTTCCGCCATGGGCCGGTTGCCACCCCTGGGATTTCCTGCTTCCATTTCTGAGACTACAAACAGGGAGCCAGGATTACTGATTTTCAGTGCCAAGAAAGGCTTGGGTTCTTCTGGGAAAGGACGGGTTACAGGGCCCTAGACGGTGCTCAGGGTGTGCCCAGGGGCCCGGGGCGCCTGATGCTGGGTGACAAGGGTGCAGATGAGGGTATGGAAGTCGCACAGCCCAACCCCCCCGCCAGTCCTGGAAGAATCTCATCGTGGTAGCACCTGAAAAGTTATGCCTTGCGGCGAAGGGCAGACTCCCTATCTGAACCCTGGCTCTGTTTTCGGTGGTGTGAACAGGTGTTCTCCAGCTGCAGTTCCCCTTCAGCCATCGGGGGCTCTGACACCTGCCTCGGGGTGGTGCCCATGCCCTCTAGGGAGGGTCAGGCCGGCTGCCCGCAGGGCTCACCTGTGCCCGCTTCCTCTCCACAGGGGTCGGCATCTGCACGTCTTTCATGGGCATCTCGTGGGCGCTGCTTGACTACCACAGGGCCTTGCGCACCTGCCTCCCCACCAGGTCGCGCCTGGGGCTGGGCTCCTCTGTGTTCTACTTCCTGTGGAACCTGCTGCTGCTGTGGCCCCGAGTGCTGGCCGTGGCCCTCTTCTCTGCTCTCTTCCCCCACTACGTGGCCCTGCACTTCCTAGGCCTGTGGCTGGTGCTGCTGTCATGGGTCTGGCTGCAGGGCACAGACTTCATGCCAGACTCCTGCTCGGAGTGGCTGTACCGGGCCACCGTGGCCACCATTCTGTACTTCTCCTGGTTCAACGTGGCCGAGGGCCGCACTCGAGGCCGCGCCACCATCCACCTGCTGTTCCTCCTGAGTGACAGTGTCCTCATGGTGGTCACGTGGTTGACTCACGTCACCTGGCTGCCCAGTGGGATCCCACTGCAGATGTTGCTGCCGGCGAGTGGCATCTGCTTCCTCTTGGGCCTGGCTCTGCGGCTCGTGTACTACTGCTGGCTGCACCCGAGCTGCCGCTGGGAGCCTGACCAGGTGGATGGGGCCCAGGACGTCCACTCCCTCGAGGGGCGTCGGCTGCCTCACAACAGGCGCTTGACCTACTTGGCTCGGAACTTTTTCCCCAGGGTTAGGGATGAGGCTGCTTTGCCACAGAAGGGAGAGGAGAATGGGGTCCTTTGAGGCGAGGCCCGACCCGGCAGGCACAGAACAGATGGAATCAACTGGTAGAATGCAGAAGATAAGCTAATGATGCTGCTACGGGCCTGGATTCCCTCAGGAAGCACTTGATGCCTGATGTGCCAGGCACTGGAGACCAGAGTTGAGTAAAGACACAGGCCTGCCTTCCAGGATGAGAACAAGATGAGAACAGCAGGGCCCTGGAGAGTCAAGGGCTCCAGTTACATACAAGACACTTTGGGAGGAAAGAAGAGACCCCCTTCCCCACCCGACCCCACCCCCACCAACCAGTAGAGCTGGTACCCAAAGCTCCTAGAGATGGTATTTTCACCTCCCTGGCCACCTCTAAAATAATAGGTGGAGGTGCTGTCCCACGGCTTGGCTCCCCGATCCTGGGCTAGAAGGCCCTGGATCTCCAGGATGTGTTCAGAATTCTTCCTCTCTGCCTCGCCTGTCATTGTGTTCACCAAACAAATGTTTACTGAGAGCATTCTCTATGGCAGGAATATTCTATCCTTGGAGGCTGGAACAAGATCAGCTGCCACCTGAGCTTTATCCCTTACCCTCTCCAGCTACCCCTGAGCGGGCTGTCATGCTGGAAGCCAGGGATGTCCAGCTAGTGGCCCCCGTCAGCCCCCCAAGGCCTCAGTGCTGCTGGCCCAGCCTCTGGCCCTGCTCTCAAGTGGCCACCTTTCAACCAAGTGCTTGTGAGCCTGTGGTCTGGGCCATGGCTCAGCCCGTTGAGTATTTTTCTACTTTAGGCAGTACACTTTCTACCTCAGAGTCTATGTGAGAGGAAGAGAACATGTGTGCATATGTGTCTTTGCAAGTGAAGGACACGTATGTGTTGTTTTTGTTTAACAGTATTATTAGATTATTATTAAAATCTCACGAAATCCTCCAACCTAGTTGTGTCATTAATCTACAGAGTTCAAGGACACCTGGAAAGAAGGGTCAGGGACATGAAGTCCACCCTTAAAATTGGTCAGGGCCCTGGGACCAGAGAAGAGGGCTGGTTCTCAACCTTGTTTTCCAAGTTTCGGGAGCTGGTAAGCCATTGTGGGGTTGGTTGTCACCTGGTGGGCATCAGAACCCAGATCTGGGCCCACTCTCATGTGTGCTGCTAACCAGCTTTGCTGCTAGGCCTGGCAGGAGCCACAAAACGCCTCTGGTACCAGGAAGTGAATCGCAGAGCCCGGGTGAAGAAAGGTACGGGTGCTGGGACCTCAGGGAGGGTGTAAGCGAAGCGGCAACATAGGGGATGTGGATGTGGGCCATGATGCCAGGGGGTGGAAGTTTTGTTGCTCTGGAAGATCTGTGGTATGCAGAAACCAGGGAACAGGAAAAGGGCACTGGAGACAAAAGGAAAAGGTGCAATCCTCCCTGTGAGGGGGCCAGGATCGTCTCCGTTCTATAACTCATTTTAGTGGAGACACAATAAACAGGGTAAGCAGAACTGTTCGAGATAGTGTAAAAGATAAAGTAGGGAAGGGCCCCCAGGGAGAGGGTGAATGCATGTTGTGGGTGGGAGTTCTAGTTCTGTATGGCATGGCTCAGGAAGGCCTCCCTGAGAAACTGACTGAGCCCTCAAGGAGGGAGGGTGAGAACCATGCAGATGCACTCCACCCCAGGGACCAAATCAGCAGGGCCTGGCGGGACGCTTGTGGGAGGCTTGCACAGCTATGCTGGCCTGGAGCCAAGGATGACAGAGGTGGGGCGGGGTGGAGGGAGCCCTGGGGAGATGATGCTGGTGCTTTTTGACATACAGAGAAAGGTAAGGCCAGAAGGATCTCCAGGATCATCCCGTCCAGTGATTTCTAGACTTGAATTTCATGGACCAGTAATATGGCCAACATGGGTGCTGACTTAATTTTAACAACAACAAAAAAAAGGCAGTAAAGCTGGAGTGGAAGGGGGGTGGGAGGGATGGCGTGGCTGGGTGATGGACATTGGGGAGGGTATGTACAATGGTGAGCGCTGTGAACTGTATTAAGATTGATGAATCACAGACGTGTACCTCGAAACAAATAATACATTAAAAACAAAAAGGCAGTAAAAACTACCATCTATTATCATCATCATCTCCTACTAGGATATAATGGCCTTAGAGAAAGGATCATTCCTTTGTTTTTTGATTGAGGTATAATATACAGTATTATAAAAGGACCATTTTTTTTAAGCTTTTTTTTTTTTTAAAGATTTTATTTATTTATTTGAGAGAGAGAATGAGAGAGAGAGCGAGCACATGAGAGGAGGGAGGGTCAGAGGGAGAAGCAGACCCCCCGCTGAGCAGGGAGCCCGATGCGGGACTCGATCCCGGGACTCCAGGATCATGACCTGAGCCGAAGGCAGTCGCTTAACCAACTGAGCCACCCAGGCGCCCTTAAGCTTTTTTTTTTTTTAAAGATTTTATTTATTTATTTGAGAGAGAGAATATGAGAGAGAGCGAGCACATGAGAGGAGGGAGGGTCAGAGGGAGAAGCAGACCCCCCGCTGAGCAGGGAGCCCGATGCGGGACTCGATCCCGGGACTCCAGGATCATGACCTGAGCTGAAGGCAGTTGCTTAACCAACTGAGCCACCCAGGCGCCCAAGGACCATTCTTTTAATTGAATACATTTAAACACACATAAACACATCCATAAGTGAAATCATTGTAGTTTCTCCCAAGTCACTGAGAATATCAAGGGTTGAGACCCCAGAGGGTGGGCTCAGTGCCCAACCCAGCCTCGGATTTAGGTCCTAAGGGTTTCACTAAAACAAATATTGGTGCTGTTGACTTTTCCAAGCTTCCTGTCATACGTAGAGATTAGGTTCAGGGGAGATGGCATATATGCTCAAACAGAAGACACAGCGTTTTAGGCAATTCCCTACTTTCCCGGAGAAAAATCCCAAAGATGTGTGCTTTTAATGTTTTGGCTAAATGCTCATCTGTAATCGCTAAATGAAATTGTCAGATGACGGTAATATGTAATTAAATTGAAGCAACGTACAAGGTATACCACCTAAAATCTGTGGAATGAAGCAGTCGCGTCTTCATTTGTATATAAAGTTTATAGAATTAAAGAGTTTTTAAAAGATTTCCATCAAGAATTTCTTTCAAAGGTCAAGAAACTTGTTTTTGAAGAACAAAACCATCCTGGATTACTAATTTTTACCTGCCAGCAAAAGGTTTTTGAGAAATGCGCAGATGTTATACTTACTATAGGGGAGATGGAGATGTTTACTTGTAGGGCTTGAAAAGCAAATAATACTCCAGTATTAGTACTTATGACCAAGTTAAAGATGTAACAACTAATAAGTTTGCTTCAGCTATGATGTGGTTCGAAATATATACCTTATGACAAAAAAATTTAATGCCTAGAATACAAGGCAACCCCCTTTTCTAAGGAGGAATTAATTTGGAGAAAAATACATCTTATAGTACTTGGAAGCTAGACCTGAATTCTGTCCTCCTTCACTGGAATAAAAGGCAAAGGGATTCTCGACTGTTTTCCAGACCAGTGAGGGACAGTCAGACTCAATCTGAAGAAACGAAATGAGCAGAAGTAGTTGACGTGACGGGAAATCAGGCCAAATCAAGCAAGGTTTGATATCAGTTTGTCAGTTTTATTGCTTTTGCATTTTAAGCTCATCACAGCAAGGTAGTGATTTCTCTTTAATAATTAAACTGCAGCACATTTGACAGCAAATGAGACCTCTTATCATTCCAGTCCTAAACTTTAATAAAAAGCAATAGATTTTAGAAACAATTAAGAAATAAACTTTCCCTTGCAAGTTATTTTAAAATATTTATTTCCACATGTACATTTGTTTATACCAAATGGTTAGTCTTAATTTTTGATGAAATTAATGACCAGGTTATTGACGGGCGCCATCTTTCTAATGAGCTCTAAAGATTTTTTTACGAAGCCCTACTTAGGAGCCTACTTAGCTGGGCAACTGGGCTGATCCTACTCAGAAAAGACACAGGAGCAAACTGTATAGAAAATAAAAACTTTATTTTTTCAAGTTTATAAGATAGTTCCCATTACATATAACATTATGGTCAAGGACTCTACACAGCCACGAATGCCCGCAGTCACATAAATATATCCAATCCGCTCAATGCCTTTTCCTGCTAAATGAGGCATCTGAAGTCCAGAGGGTCATGTTTTGAGTAGAAGTTGTCCTAAATGAGATGGCTCCCGTCAGTGCATTAGGGACTAGCCGTGGAGCCTTGCTTGCTGGAGCTAAGTCAGAGGAGAGGAAGGGACAGAGGCCCTGCAAATTGGGGATGGGACAGAACTACATTTTTCTCTCATAGTTAAAGATATTTTAGAATCCCAGAATTCAGATTTGGCTTCTTTGTAAGTGTGAACATCTGGGGACTCCCAAGTTTTGGATGAAAAAGGAAGTGAATTTAGTGGTAAGAAGTAGAAACCTGCTTAAAGAAGGGCCCTAACTGTCCCTCTTCTACAGGAGTGAGGAGAGGAAGGCCCCAGCTCACCATCCTTGGCTTAGACCATTGTCCTCCCAGGAAGAGAAGAATGTGGCCCTGCCCCTCTCCCCGTCCCCCTTGGTTCAGTGGCACTGACACCCATTCAAGGTAGTGAACATCTAGATGCTCCATATGCTGCAGCTAGAGTTTGCCAATCAGATTCTACTTGGAGCTTGAAAAGTGAGTTTGTATAAACTGCGAACAAGCTGTGGCACAAGTCGCCTGGGACACTAGCTTTGCCCCTCAACTTGCAGAGCAGAAGACAGGAACATCCCAAACTAAATAAAAGCCCAAACAGGCATCGAAGTCTGGAACAGGCATCTATTCTCCTGGACACCACCAGCTGCCCCAGGGGCACCGGACAGGGTGATGCTAAGGCACAGTCAGTTTTACATTCGGAAGTCAAGCCACCTCTTAAACCCAGGACACATCTGACAACTCCAGATCCCACACTAGAGACAGTCCTCACTATGAAATGTGCAGACCCATCTTCTAGAACCCATAGTGCCCAGCTGGAGGAAAGACTCATCATGTGGCTAATTTCATGGGGACACTTTCTAGTAAAGAGGGCTTCCCCTTGAAGAAATGACCCACGGTATCATTTTGTCCTTAGCTTCCAAGAGCTCTTGGTGCTACCCACTTATTTTCCTTTCCAGATCTTTGTGCTGGAACACAGGGTGAAAGAAGAACGCTGTGTTCCCTGGATAACTCATTTTGGAAAAGAGGAATCGAGAAGCTCTCATTTTCTGTCTGTCCTATAATGAGGGCAGCAACAACCAGAAGAAAGCAGAAGTGCTCTGCTCGGTAGAGTTTCCTCACCTCTCTTCACCAATTTCAAGTTCCTTTTGCAAAGACCCAAGCTGGGCAGTCAGGGCGGGGGTGGGGGAGTGAGGGAAATGCCGTTGAAAGAGGAGTCCAACTCATAGGGATAAAGAGCTTCTCCCAAAGGGCAGGGAGAGGGAAGTGTTTGTGTGTGGCCCTGTGTGCGTGACGGGGGTACCACTCCACAGCCTCACAGGCCTGAAGTACAGCACCAACCAGGTGGCCTATGTCCAGTGCAGGGAACCAACAGTTATACTGCCAGTATGGGGAGAGCTTGGGGCCTGGAAGAAAGGCCCGTCATAGAGCTTTCTAAGATCAATTATCAAGCAAGGCAAAGCAGCATGTGGACAACTATGCCGAACACAGACCATGGAAGGTTGGCCTCCGACTACACGCCCCATCTCTTCCCAACCTGCCAGAGGCGGCAAGGTCAGAGAGGCAGCTAAGTAATGAGCACTGACTTCAGCCCCTTCCCAAAAACTGCTTCCCTAAAATTGTGAGTCATGGAGCATTTTCTCAATCAGTTTGGAAGGAATGTGTCTATCAGTTTTTCTCTGCTGCCATTCGGGTGGTCTGGCGTTGGAAGGAGCCTGGCCCCTTTGTGCCGCAACATTTCTGGAAATGGATACCCAGAATCTCTGGGGGCAAGCAATTACAGCTGGGGTTGGTCAAGGGATGCCTCCTACTGAGGACCCAGACTGCACACCTGAGGTGCTTATATGATCACCTCTCCAGGCAGCCGGGGAGAGGCTCAACTTCCTCAGCTCTAGGAAGTTAACCCTGCCTGAGCAGATGCCCACGTTTGTCTTGGAGGGATGGAGCATCCACAACACAGCTGGACAGTAAGGCTGGGATTAGTTGCCTGGCACCCACCAATCTTCCTAGAGGTCAGGGTGAGAGACGTTCCTGCATTTAGCCCAGGATTCAATTTTCAGGCATGGAGTGGGGTCCCAGCACCCTCATTTAAATCAGGAAAGTCTTTCTGGCCTTCTGGTTTCCCATTTTAGAATGGGATTTGAGAAGCAGGAAGGGTGTTCCATGGGAAAAGTGGGTTTTGATCATAGCAATCTGTTCTTCAGTTTCAGGAAGAGATTTGGGTAAATATATGCCCAAAATACCTTTCTTGGCTTAAGGGCTTCAAAGGAAGTCAAATGTAGTTATGAGTCTGTTCTCAGACTTGATTTAACTTCTTGGGTCCAAAGCCGAGGGACTGGCCAGAGCTGCATGGAGGCAGATGTGAGGTACAGAGGGCAGGAAAGGGGCAAGAGTTTAGTACTGATGACTAAGAAGGCAGAGAAGGCTGCAGGGTGAGCATCTGCTGGGGAAGGGTGCTTCTCTGCAGGAGGAAAAGGTGGACTCTTCTTGTCTCAAGAGCCAAAGAAGCAGAAATTCCTAAGAAGCCTTAGTCCTTTCCCTCCAGTTGGGAGGTAAGCCCTCTGGGACACAGTCTTTGAATAAAAGTCTAGCTGAAGGCTTAGAATTTACGTCTTAAGAGAGGGAGTTTCTAGGGCTGTGCCATTTGGTTGAAGAGGGGCAGGGATTGGAAAGGGGACTAAGGCTTCTAGGATGGGAAATACCAAAGTCTAAAGTTAATCAGTGTCCAGTGCCCCACAGTTCAGCAAACTAGGAGATGGAAGAACGGGAAGGAAACCACCCTAGAAAGCAGACCGCTGGGGCAGCTAGAGGTGCTACTGTCACAGAGAGGTATTTTAGATATTTCAACCGCTATTTTCCAAGGAAACTTTACACACCCCTTTCTTGCTAGAAAAAGAAAGGAGGGAAAACCTGCTTCAGAGACCAGACCCTTAACTATAAAAATAACATATACATTCCCTGGGAATATGTTCTAGAGCTAAGGAGATTACAAAGACTGCAAGAGATGGTATCACAAAAGTCTGCCACATTTATCCTGTTCCCTCAAGTTCCGAGCAGTTCTCAAACTGGGCACAAACTAAGAGTGCAACTCTGCCCCAAGAACTTCCTTTTCTTTTCTTCATTTTTTGAAACAAAATAAAACGAAACAAAAAACAGAAGAATTAAAAGCACTGTAGCTGCAGTGAGTCTATTGTTCTCTCAATCCAACTGTCTCCTGCCTCTGTACAAGGATGAACACAGGGCTGCAGCTCACTCTTAGCAAAAATAAGCTTCGTCCCTTGCAGCTGTTGGTTCTGACTGTGTTCTCGCCAGCATTCCATGGAGAAAGAGAGACACACACAGAGACAGAGACAGAAACGGAGACAGAGACAGAGAGAGAGAGAGTTCCCAGATGGTTCCGGTCTCTAGCTCCCTTCAGGAGTGAAAAGGAGCTCACGGGGAAGGGTCTTCATTCCAGTTCTCAGAGAAAATCAAGTTCCAAAGCCTGGTGGAGGGACACTAGGTCTCCATGGTTGGTGATTCTCCAGAAAGGCATGTTGTGCTGGAAGAGAGGGGGATAGTTGATAGTTGACTAACCCAACCTCTTTTGGGAGCTGATACTTACCTATATACCTCTTCCTCTCCCCAAGATACTTGGTAACACTCTCTACTCCTGCCTGCCTTATAGGGCTGTTATTAAGGATCAGTAAGTCATATGTATAAGGACTTTGTACGCTAGAGGACACTTTACAAATGTGAGAGATTTTTATCAGGTCTTTTGTGCTAACTGTGCTTTTGGGTGTGTTCTAGCCATTATACAGGATCTTCAGGATCAAATAAAATGACCCACATAAGAAATTACTATTAATATATTACATTTTCTTAAAGATGGTCAGTTTTCTCTACGTTTCAGACAAAGTTTCTGTAAGTTTCTACAAAGCCCAAATCTTGTTCACGACTAAGATGCAGAACACACAGATCTAAGAAATAATAATCCCATTTACCATGTTGTCAAAATCATGTCCAGAATACTGTGTGCTGTTATAGAAGCCACATTTTAAAGAAGGGATTTGAAAAATCCAAGTGTTGGAAACCATGTTCTATGAAGTCAAAGGGGATTAGCTTTACTGATCGTTTTGCTCACACTGCTTGCAAGTTACCTGAAATACTGAAGTCTTACAACAGTTCTTTTGGCAGTAAGCTCAGTGTTTCTCAAGCAGGCTGCTCACCCATAATATTTAAAAGGCTTGTAATATACAGAAAAGGAAACAGACTTGTTACATCCTACTCAGGACTCGGACCAGGATATGAAAGTTAGAGATACAAGTTTGAGTTCAGTGGAAGGAGGACCATCCTAACAGCTTGGATGATGCCACAGTAGAACACGACACAGTAAGCAGTCTCCCCATCCTTGGGTTTATTCAAGCAAGGACTAGGAAGTCTTCTGGGAAAGGCGCTGGAGAAAAGGTCCCTCACAGGGTAGAGGTTGAACTGGATAGAGCTCTAAGGCATCTTCCAATGGGTATATTCTGTGGTAGATGATTACAGGCATCAGCTTAGCGGCCCCAACTCCGCTAATGACTTAATTGTTCTCTATCTCCCCGACTCCCTTCTTCAAACCAAGCAGCAGTGTTGCCTCCATCCACTAGTGTCTTCTTCCTCCTCCTCCCCCCCAGAGGGCAACAAGCACTTCAGAATCAAAGCCTCAAAGATAACACATGAAAAAAAATAAAGGTCCTTGAATTGCTACATAAAACAGTACATGAAAACATAATGGGGTAATAATGCCACCCAATTACCAATCTCACAGTTTATTAGTAGTTGAATATTTACATTAACTGAAGAAATCAGGACAGCTGGTCCTAGCTGGCAACCCTCCACCTCCAAACGTAAGAAATAGAGTTGCTGGAAGGAAACCAGGCAGAGGAAAAGAACTTCTGTAGATCCATTTAATAAACACAGATGAGGAAACTCAAAGAGAAGTAAACTGTCCAAAGTCACACAGCTAATCAATGGAGGAGAGCTGACCCAATTTAATTTTAGATTCCACAGTCAAGACTCTTTCATCTACTGTTTCCTGTAGTGAGATGAGGTGGCCTGGAGTTGGGACCTGCACAGTGAGGACATTAACAGCAGAGCAATCTTTTCTGGGCTCGAAAGCAGGAAGGACTTCATCTAAACAACTTTCACTTGATTGTACTGGCTTTTTGAGAATCTAAAGCCTGGATAAGTCAGACTGATTTGCCTTTTTGTAGTGAAGTCTCATGCTCTTGGGAAGGCATTGCCCTCTAAGATGAAGACGGCAGATGGGGCCTGTATCAGGTTTAATGATGGGGGTCCCTACAGCAGGGCTCAAAGATTTTAAGATTTCTGAGTGGGAGGGAGGAGGGGGAAAGGAAGGATCTAACAACTTAAAGGGAAAACTCTATCTGGGGGAAAAATGAACATCTTTCTTTAAAGAAAAACAGGACAAGAAAACACTAAGATTTCTGACTTTTACCATTTTTCTAATTGTTTGATGCATTCCCACATGGACTATTCTCTTTACCATGGTTACCTGTTTGGCTGCAATTTCTTCATCTCGTCCATCTCCAATCACTACATATGTGACTTTCTTTCCAAACCTAGACACAATTCTCTCAAAGCAGCTCTCCTTACCTGATAAGAAAAAGAAATTTCCCATTAGGACATTCCCCCACCTTTTTTCAACACCAAAAAAAAGGGCTGCTGCTGGTTCACCTGCGTAGGCTTAGAAAAAACAAGTGACAGCCCATGTAGTTTGTCTGGTGGGGAGTGGGGGTGGCAGCTAGAGATCCAGCAGGCCTGCTGCCCAAAGAATGTGAAATTGTGCTATTAAGACAAGACTTTCTAAGCATTGTGCTTTTTAGGTTCTTATTTTAATAAGTGTGGGGAATTTTTTTGTTTTGTTTTTTAAGTAGGCTCCACACCCAGGGGGGGCTTGAACTCACAACCCTGAGATCAAGACCTGAGCTGAGATCAAGAGTTGGACACTTATGGGGTGCCTGGGTGGCTCAGTTGGTTAAGCGTCTGCCTTCGGCTCAGGTCATGATCCCAGGGTCCTGGGATCAAGTCCCGCATTGGGCTCCTTGTTCCACAAGAGGCCTGCTTCTTCCTCTCCCACTCCCCCTGCTTGTGTTCTGTCTCTCGCTGTGTCTCTCTCTGTCAAATAAATAAATAAAATCTTAAAAAAAAAAAAAAAAGAGCTGGATGCTTAACTGATGGAGTCACCCAGGCGCCCCTTAGTGTGGGAATTTTTATAAATAGGAAGCAAAGGGCCCTAGGCAATGTGAGAGCTGGGATACCACCTCCCTCTTCCATATCTCCTGTACGTTATAGCTTACAGAGATATTCCTTTAATGAACTCTCAAAATAATCCAGTGAGAGGGGTACCATTCCCTATTGTAAAGATGAAAATGGGATTGAAAGGATTAGTTAGTTACTTGTCCCAGATCAAAAACAAGCTAGTAGCTACACTCTGGGCTCCAGGCTCCAATCTAATCACTTCTCAGTCTTTTGGCTAAGATCAAGTGCAGGCTCCAATTTAGGGTCAGGCTATCTTGCCATGATGAAAGGATGATTTCAGAGGGTAACTGTTTTAGTGCAGGAAAAAAAAGGTGGAAGCATAAGGTCCTGATTTCTTGTTAGTAACAAGAAACAAGCAAACAGCCATTTTCCTTCAATTCTTCATTTTCCAGAAACAGTCCTAGGCTTGGGTCTTAGGTCTTTCAGTGGGGGGAACAGCCCCAGAGTACCAATGAATATGGCAGTAAACCCGTCACATCCAGAATGTCTATTATACGCTGTAACTGCAACTGAGACAGTGTATCTCTGAAGTTGACCTTGGGAAAGGGTGATTTCAATCCACTGCAGGCAGCTGAGAAACATGGCAGTGTATCATAATTCAAATCGCATCTGGAACACACCAGAAGCATGCACAGATAATACTGCTGTGGGAAAGACATTTTATTTGTATAAATAAAAGGGAAATTATTTCCCTTGCTCTTTCTTCACCATCTTATACTTTATTTCCCTGTTTCCACCACCTTCTTCAGTTAAACAAGGTCCTAACTCTGCTTCCTTCTTCATCCTGCTCCATTAACCTTCTCATTAGCACCAGGGTTCCTGTGTGAATAAGAAAAACATGCCTCTTCCTCAGGCACTTGACTGCCATCTGCTGGAAAATTGTTGTAATAAATATATAAATACATGAATGAGACAACTACCATAATTGACAAGAACCTATCTACCCATACTCAGAAGTCCCACTTGACACGTCTGAGCAACTGCAAGTCTCTGAAATCCCTAGCCCAACTGGCACCTCAACCCAGATGAGCTAGTCACCTGGACCAAACACCTAGTCCACTTTGGCCTTCAGTCTCCCGCTTGTAATAAAAAGCTTGGCTCAGGCGCACTTAGCACAGATCCCTTTCGGTGCTAACATTTTACAATAGCATCATCATGCCCAACATTCAAATCAGGCAATGCAGTCAATGTTTGCAGAATAAATGCATATTAATCTCATAAATGATTCGGTAGATGACTGCAGTCCATGTCTTGAGCCCCAATTCATATATTAAATAGTTCAACTAATAAATTCTTATTATGTTCAAAGTGTTGAAGAGTTGTTTGTCTAATTCCATGGCAAATATTACATCCTATAACCTAAGCCAACCTCTGCCAGGCCCAATCTACTTTATGATCTGTCTATAGAAAAGTACCTTAAGTCAGTCAGGTTTTAGACCTTTTTCCTCAGACTTAATAAAGGGAATGCCTCATATTTATTTTTAAGAAATATTTTATTCATTCATTTGACAGAGAGAGAGTGAGAGAGCACAAGCAAGGGGAGTGGCAGAGAGGGAGATGAGCAGGGAGCCCGATGCAGGGCATGATCCTAGGACCCCGAGATCATGACCTGAGCTGAAGGCAGACACCTAACTGACTGAGCCACCCAGATGCCCCAGGAATGTCTCATATTTAGAGGACAAGGACATAAAAAGTTTTTCATTGTAATGGTATGTAATGATCAAGGATGAAATACATTTAGGAATGTCTCCTCTAAAAGGATTAAGAGACAGGGAGAATTATTAACAGCTCACAGTGAAGAAGTAGCTACATAAAAAAATGACTCCCATATTGTTGGTAAATATATTTCCTCCATTTTACACTCTCAAAACAATCCTGAAGATGAGATTTCCATTCAGGAGGATATGGCCAATGATCACTCAACTAACCAAATGTCAAACAACTGAATCTGTAACTGCAAGACCAACTAATAAGCGTTTGGAGAATATTCAGTTTCTGGGCTTCCCCTATCAAAAATACTTCTGAGATTTTCAGAAACAATTTCGAGAATTCTTTTTAATGTCCAAAATAACAGAGTGGCCACTAAGAGAACCATAACGCTGAAATCAAGTATTTCTTCTCCTTGCTCCCATTTCACAGTTCTATCAAGGAAAGCCTCAAGTCTCTCACTGTAGTTACCAAGGTGCCAGGAACCTATAGCTTTGCAAATTAGCTCTGGATGAAATGAGATTGAGAAAAATTACCAAATAAACACACGTACTGTTGAAGGGAATAAAATCATTCCCATTAGTTTGATGAGGCTTTGGGTGTCAGGACTCACTATAACAAGAACTACAGAAAATCTACCTTTCAGGTGTGAAAGGCTCAGTGCGTGCTCTCGGTTATGAAATACATAGTGAAGCAGTGGCAGCGAGAGCAAAACATGAAGAGGGGTGGGTTCCCCCAATCCCTTGTAAATCAAAGTAATTCAAAATACAGAAAAAGGAGAATAAAAATAAATTCCTGTATACCTACCGCCAACCCACTTTTGTCAAATTGTAATATTTTATAGTTTTAGATAAAAAAATAAGAATGAGATACCACAGATTTATTTAATTTCCTGTGTACCCCTACCTGTTGACCCTTCCTTTCTCTGTGAGTATATACCCATAAACAATATATGGTATATGGTTGTGAACATTTTTGGCCTTTAGATAAATGATACACACTGTACATATCTATCTGCACTGTGTTTTTTGTGTTGAACATTGTTTTTCATATTAATCCTTATGGATGTATGTAGTTTTAGTTCATTCACTTTTAACTGCCATATAGCATTCCATTGTTTGGATACATCTATCAGTTTTCTTTTCATGGACGGGTTTACAGAGAGGCTATTTCCAATTACATTCTATTATGAACAATGCGACATCAAAAAAATCCTCACACATCTCTCCTTGTGCACATGAGAACTACTCAAGGGCAGGGGTGGGCCAACTTTCTGTGTAAAGAGGTAGTAAATATTCCAGGCTTTGTGGGTTCTATGATCTCTGTTGCAACTACTGGACTCTGCTAACTACAGTGTTAAAGTATCTATGGAAATGATCTGACATGGCTATGCTTCAATAAAATTTTACAAAAACAGGCAGCGGGCAGAATCTGGCACATCGGTTATAGTCTGCAGACCCCTGAACTAAAGTGTATTTATCTAAAAGTAGAGTTGCTTGATCATAGGGTTATGCACATCTCAAACTACTAGACATTGACAAACTATTCTCCAAAAAGGGCTATATCCAGGGGTGCATGGCTGGGTCAGCTAGTAGAGCATGCAACTTTTTTTTTTTTTAAAGATTTTATTTATTTGACATAGAGAGAGACACAGCGAGAACACAAGCAGGGGGAGTGGGAGGGGAGAAGCAGGCTTACCGCAGAGCAGGGAGCACGATGTGGGGCTCGATTCCAGGACCCCAGGATCATGACAGGTGCCGAAGGCAGCCACTTAACGACTGAGCCACCCAGGTGCCCCGAGTATGCAACTCTTGATCTTGGGGTTGTGGGTTTGAGCCCCACGTTGGAAGTAGAGATTACTTAAAAATAAAATCTTAAAAAAAGGGCTATCTCCATTTGCAGAGTAAGTGTTCCCATTTCCTTGACAAACTTTGGCACTGTCAGACTTAAATTTCTGTCAATCTGATAAATAGGAAATGCAACACACTTTAATCTGCATATCCTTAATTGCTGAGGTTAAGGAACTTTCCATATGCTTACTGATGACCTGAGTTTCCTCTTCTGCAAATTGACTGTTCCAAGGTTTCTGCCTACTTTTCTAATATGTTGTTTGCTGCTTAATAATATACAGTTTTTTACAGATTTTGTATATGAATTAACAAGCAAAAGAACTGCAAATATCTTCTCCCAGTCTAGTTTTGTCACTTTATATTTTCACTCGATATAAAGCTTCATCCAATTAAAATGATCATTTTTTTTGTTGTTTTTCAAAACTGTATTTTGGGCCTTTTAAATAAGATCCCCTTCTACCTTAAGGCCATACAGATACTCTTCTGTATTTTCTTCTAAAAATTAAAGTTTTGCTTATCATGTTAAGTTTTATTTTATCCACCTGGAACTTCGGTAATTTCCATGAGAACAGAGGACTTTGTCCCTGCTATATTCCTAGTGCCTTGTCAATGTCAGACACACGGGAGGCACCACTATTGTTCTTCCTCATCTAGTGAATCCTTACCACCTGCATATAAACTTGATAGAATTTCTCTTACGTTCAAAAATTCTCTTGAGCCCATATAACCCTCCAGTTACTACCTCATTTCTTTGTTCTTCTTTACAATTGATCTAAAGTGTTGTCATATGGTTGCCTTCTCCAGCTCTTCTCTTCCCATTCTCTCTTAAACCCATTCCAATTAGATATCACCCCCATCATTTTGTTCAAACTGTACATCAAGTTTATTAATGGCCTCCATGTAGCAACCTTATTTGACCCATCAGCAACATCTGATTGAATCAAACACTCTCCCTTTGTCTTCTTCTAAGACACCATTCTCCCAGTTTTCTTCCTACCTCACACATACCTCTCCTTCTGAAACTTCTGCTGGTTCCACCTTAAGATCCAAACATTTAAATATTAGAGGGACTCAGGACTTAGTTCATAGACCTCTATTCTTCTGTCTGCGTTCATTCCAATGACTTATGCAGTCATTTTTAATAACCACACGTACACGAAGAACTCCCAATTATTTATCTCCAGCTAGTACCTCTCCCTTGACTTCCAGACTCAGATATCCAACTGCCTACCTGACATCTCCGCTTGGACGTCTAGTAATTATTTCAAACCTAGCATCTAAAACTAGACCCTTAATCTTTCTTACCACAGCCTTCTCCATCTCAGTAAATGGCATCTTATCCTTTCAGCTGCTTAGGTCAAAATCCTGGGACACCTCCTTAACTTCTTTTTCTTTCACACCCCATATCCAAATTACTAGCAAAGCCTGTCAAAATAATGCCTTCATAATATATCCTATATGTATCATAGACATATCTATCATCATATATGACTACTTCCCCATCTCCATTGCTACTACCTTGGTTCAAGCCACACAGGATCTCATGCTGGATTGTTACAATAACCTCCTAATTTGACTCCCAGCTACCCTCCTCAAGATCCTACACAGCAGCCAGCCTGATGCATTTATTTATTTTTTTACAATATTTTATTTATTTATTTGACAGAGAGAGACATAGCGAGAGAGGGAACATGAGCAGGGGGAATGGGAGAGGCAGAAGTAGGCTTCCCGCTGAACAGGGAGCCCGATGCGGGGCTCAATCCCAGGACCCTGGGATCATGACCTGAGTCGAAGACAGATGCTTAACGACTGAGCCACCCAGGCACCCCCAACCTGATGCATTTAATGGGTAAGTCAGATCTTGTCAGTCTTCTGCTCAAAACCTTAAGACAGCATTTCATTGGAATAAAAGCTAAAGTCTTTAAAATAATCTACAAGGCCCTGCAAGATCTCCCCACACTCTCCTTTGATCTCTTGTGACTTTACTTTCCAACATTCTTCCTCCCCTGCTCCTCCCTGCACATGCCTCCAACCTCTTCCACTGGCTGTTCCCTCTCGTTGGCATGCTCTTTCTCCAAGTAAACGCTAATGGCTAAGTCCTTCACCTGTTAGGTCTTGCTTAGAAGGGGAGGGAAGGAAGGAAGGAAGGAAGGAAGGAAGGAAGGAAGGAAGGAAGGAAGGAAGGAAGGAAAAGGAAAAAAAAAGGTAGCTTTGCCTTGAGGTCTTCCCTAACTACCCTCTCCTTTGCTTGGTATAACAGTGAAACAGGAACTGTAAGAATCTGGACAGGTGAGGAGAGGGTTGTCATATTCCTCTTTTTCTGACCATGTTCAGCACACAAGAAGCACAGTGACACACTTGCTGCCATCTTAGTGGGACAAGTTGGTTTTGTATAAATCTGGTGCCAATTAATTAATTATTTCAGCAAATATTTATTGAGTATCTACTGTTTCCCATACTTGGTACTGAATACATTTTTAGGGGTTAAACAGTACCTTCATTTACACAGTCCCATTTGAGTTTCACAATCTCTCTGGAAGTTTCTCATTTTATATGAGAAAATGGAGCCTCAAGAGATAATTTGCCTAAAGTGAGAACTAGTAAGTGGGGGAGACAGGACTTGAATTCTAGTCCTTTTTTTCCTTTTTAAAGATTTTATTTATTCATGAGAGAGAGAGAGGGCAAGAGAGAGCACAAGCAGGGGAAGTGGCAGAGTGAGAGGGAGAAGCAGGCCCCGATGCGGGGCTCCATGTGGGGCTTGATCCCAGCACCCTGGGATCAGGGCCTGAGCTGAAGGCAGATGCTTAACCGACTGAGCCACCCAGGCGCCCTGAATTCTAGTCCTTATTACTGTTTGTTTTTTTTTCCTTTTCAAAAAATTGTACTAAAAACCATAAAATCTGCCATCTTAACCATTTTTAAATGTACATTTCAGCAGTGTTAAGTATACTCACATTGTTGTTCCAGAACTTTCCATGGTGCAAAGCTGAAATTCTATACCCATTAAACAACAATTCCCTATTTCCCTTTTCCTCCAAGCCTTTGTTAATCACCAACCTACTGTCTGTTTCTATGAGTTTGACTAAGAAACACACAGTATTTGCCTTTTTGTGACTGGCTTACTTCATTAGCATAACATCTTCAAGGCTGATACACGTGGTAGTATATGACAAGATTTTCTTCCCTTTTATGACACAATGATACCCCCCTGTATGTATATACCGTATCCTGTTTATCCATTCATTTGATGGACATCTGAGTTGCTTCCACCTCTTGGCGATCGTGAATAATGCTACCATGAACATGGGTGTGCAAATATTTTTTGGAGATCCTGCTTTCAATCCTTTTGGATATATACCCAGACGTGGGATTACTAATCATATAACAGTTCTTTTTTAAATTTTTTGAGGAACCACCATACTGTTTTCCATAGTAGTCCTACCATTTTATATTCCCACCAACAGTGCAGAAGGGCTCTAATTTATCCACATCCTTGTCAACACTTGTTATTCTTTTTCTTTTTTTATTTTTAAGTAAACTCTACGCCCAACGTGGGGCTTGAACTACGTCCCATCAACATGGAGAGTTGCACGCTCCACTGACTGAGTCAGCCAGGGTACCCCAACTATTTTTTTTTAAATATTTTATTTATTTATTTGACAGAGAGAGACAGCGAGAGCGGGAACACAAGCAGGGGGAGTGGGAGAGGGAGAAGCAGGCTTCCCACTGAGCAGGGAGCCTGACGTGGGGCTCCATCCCAGGACCCTGGGATCACGACCTGAGCCGAAGGCAGCCGCTTAACTGACTGAGCCACCCAGGCGCCCCTATTTTTCTTTTTTTGACAGCAGCCATCTGAATGGGTGTGAGGGATTTAACCAGTTTTAAGTATATAGCTTAGTCTTTGATTTTTAATTTAGTGCTTTTTCTATTAGACTATACTGCACCACTCTCTCTGTGGAAAAGAAAAATAAATCTGGAATGAGGCAAAAGTAGATTTCCAAGCTATATATTATGTTCTTTCAATTATTATAAAAGGAAAGAGCATGATAAACTTTAAGTCCTACAAACCTGGATTTGAATCTGGTTTATGTAACTTACTAGCTGTGGAGCCTTGAGGAAGCTACACAACTGTTAAGCCTGAACTGGCCCATCACTAATACTAGGAAAAGACTCCTGTGAGGATTAGAGATACACATAAAGTGCCTAATTAAGGGATTAGTAAATAATTAAGCACATCATAATTATGAAGTATTATGTAAGGCAAGTGACAAGAAAGAGAATAGAAACCATACCAATTTTGGTAGCACTATAGATGTTTTCAATAGGAAATATTTCTCCTAGCCCGTAAAGGAGAACCTTGGCCAGAGCTGGAACCAGCTGAGTTGTAGTGATCAGAACATTCACACAATTCTTTCTAGAAGGGAGAAAAAATAAAAAGAAAAGGAAAAGGTGAAACTAAACCAACCTGACAGCAAGAATTCAAACGCGTCTTCTCTTTAGAATCTAATTATTAAAAACTAACCTCAAAGGGCCTGATTTTTGTTCAGTGCCACGCTCAGCTGTTGCTCTAATTACCTCAGATTTATTTATTTCCCATATTAAAGGACAGAGGTTATATATATATATATATATATAGTGGGCACAAAGCAGCAACTTGATTCTTGCCCCATTTCCCTTATGACCATTCTAGCTCACTGCACTTGTTAGCAAATAAACCACCAACCCATGTCACTGATAGCACACTACAGAAAACCAGCAATGAAGACTTTCAGTCACAGTGCTATTTCATCTGAATGCAACTCAGCTCTTAAATAAGATATGATTTAAGTCTTCTCTGCCTCTCACACAATAGCAACACAGATTCCAGAATACACCTTAATTTCACATGTCCTTTACCTTCACGGATATCTACCCCTTGGTGTCAGTTTTACCGTTTGCTCTACTAGGTTGTAGATCTGGAATTCCTGCTTTGAGGGAGGGAGGAACAGGGTACTGGTGTAGACTGTATTTGACTATATTTATTTCCCATTCTAAGCTTCAAAAGCTGAAATCTCCTTAAACTGCTTAATTTTTCCTTTTCTTCTGAATCCTGCCTTCCTGAGTAGGCTTTGATACATTTCTTTAGAGCTTCCTGTACTTAGGGTATGTGATGTGTCTCCTACAGGGATTCTTTGATGTGACCAGGCCCATTCCTGGGCTGGATATTATGGGTTACTAAGCTATAATTCTGTGAGCGAAAAATAAGGGGAAAGAAAAAGGCTTTCATATATAAATATTCTCTGAAAATTCAAACAGGTGCTGTCAGCATAGAATGACCTCGCCTCCCACCGAACCTAAATGTTTGCTTGCATCCTTTCAACTCCTCTCACCCCATCCCAAACAGGTGTTAGGGAGTGGCCTATCCTGGACTGGGGTAGGACTGAGTGCATACAGGAGACGATGAAACCTAAAAGTATCATTCCCATACCTGGACTGGATGAGAAGTAAGGACTTTAATGCAGTTCCTAACCAGGAATCTGTTAAAACTTCAATTTCTGCTCTTAGTCTCTGCAGTGCTTCCTTTCTCTGGGGACTGAGTAGGCCTTTGGGAATAAAAGCAGACACATTTATCATTTGACAATATATCCTTGCTGACACTAAGGAAGCAACTTCTAAATTCAATTTAGAAATAGTGTGAGTCACTGAAATATTCTATTGAGCTAACAGGTTTCTCTTCTTGATAAAACCCTGGAGCAGTCTACTTAATTAAAATGCCTTTTTGACTTTCTTCATCAGAATGTTTTGCTAGGGGGGCCACAACCACCAGCACAAAATCATCTGAAAGAAACACTGTGAACAGATTCTGCCAAAGCTTACTCTTTCATCACCAGCCAGTAACATGACTGGCAGACTGGTGGACCACACTCTGAGCAGCGCTGCTGTAGATGTGACATCAAGAATCAAAGGGGGAGAAATGAGGGTTAGAGCTGGAAGAGTCTGCAGCATTTCTAATCTCTCTGAAGAAACCAAAGCCCAGGGAGGAAAGGGGGCTGCCTAAGATCACTCAGCAGTTAGTGGCTTCTGGCTTCCCAAGTCTTTGCTCTGCCACACCCTGCTCCCATGGCAACCGTGCTCTCACCCGTTCATAACACATCGACCTGAGATTCCAGGTTGAATGACCAACTTCATGAACATCATTTATTTGTACTGTACTTGCATCTGAAACAACTCCAGCTAAGAGGAGACTGAAACACTGCTCAAGATCAGACAAGCATAGAACAAAACAGAATTCATCAGATGGGAGCATGTTATCAGACATTTGAATTATAATATTCAAATAATAAATCTGGCCCTGTATTTTGTGTAGTGAAGGTAAAAGAGAAATCCTATCTTCTATTACAAGTATTTCACAAAAACAGAAGGCATTTCTGTGAGGAGACTGGTATATAATTTGTTTTCAGATTGTCGGTTTCACAATGCAAGCCTAGAATTACATGATCTCAAGGTCTCTGATAAGACAACAACAAAACCAGTACCTATATGTCATGTGTGGCATACACATAAGTACACATGTCACATACTTAATTAATAATATGATGTGGCACTTCTGTTAATTCCTATTTTACAAAATACAGCTGGACCTTACTTTTAATATGTTCCCCAGAGTAGGCTCAGGGGATTCTCACAGAGGGTTATATCACTTTCTTCAGGAAACCAGGTCCTGGCCCTCAACTAACAGAAAAAGGATCAGATACTTAGGTTGTATATGAAAACTAACAAAAGAAAGGCTAATGTGTGGAGACAGTAAAAGCAGAAAGATGGGAGTTGCCAAAATAAAGTACTGGCTCTGAGTCATGAGAAAAAAATAGGCCATAAAAAGGGGAATCTAAAAAAAGCAAATTAAATTCCCAAAGCCCAGATGCCTGTGCTTTTTATCTGGTACTGGGGGCTCTAACAGAAATGAACCAAATTATCTTAAAGCCCTATTTTTACTTTCTGCACCACAATGTAAGGCAGCATGGTGTGGCAGGAGTTGTTTCTTGATCTGGGATAATATACCTCTAGACAGTCTATCAAATCCCTGAAACTTCATGCAACATTTTGTATTAGATCTTTGAGGGTAATGCTTCACAGCTTAAAATTTTTTTCTCATAAGGATACATCACTAAAAGAGGAACTGCATCAGGGCGCTTGGCTGTCTCAGTCAGTAAGCATGCGACTCTTGATCTCGGGCTCGTAAGTTCAAGCCCCATACTGGGCACAGGGCTTACTTTAAAAATAAAAACATCTTTCATACTTTAAAAAAAAGTGTCCTGCATGAATGTAAAGTACACTGGACCAAGAGTTAGGGGACTGGATTCTAGCTGTGACCGTGGGTAAGCTGTCCTCAGCACCCTCATGATAAACGAGCTTTCTCAAATGCAAAATGAGGGATTCAGATTAGATTTCTAAAGTCTCTTCTAATTTGAACAATCTATGCTTAATTTATTAATTTTAAATAACAGAATTTTAGGCATAGTGACACCTGATATTTCAGATATTTCTGGGCAGAATTTCCAAGGTCCAATACATGGCTACTGCCAACCTTTAATTCTGGACCAACTTTTCCACCCATTATAAATCTAGTCACTAGTTCTACCTGACTTGTTCTGATAGTTACATAAGTCAGTCAAAAAATATGGCAACCCATTAACTAGTATTGACAATAGTTGTGACTCCAGAACAAAACATATGTCATCAAACATAATCTTTGGAACACATTTCTTTAAAAAGGTATTTGTCTAAAAAGAACAAGAAACCTCTGCAAAGTTATGCTAAGAGAAGTCCATGAGAGATGCAGAGCTTCCTCCTCAAAGAGTTTCAATCAAACCTCAGTTTTTTTATACAAAGTTAAAATGTTATTGTGGCCCCAATTCCTAAGCAGTTGCCAGGGAGTTCTAAGGAATCCCTGGAAAAGAACACAGGAAATAAGAGGGAAACAGAATATCAGACTGGCTGTATGCCACACTTACCACCCACGTTGCTTTTATGCTTATCATAGATTTCTCTCACTTTTCGGTAGCGGAAAGCCAGCTTTCTCATCCAGTCCACACCTCCCTGGACACCCACAGAGGAACCATGGCTGCCACCGCCTCCTGACCCACTGAAACCATCTGTTGAGAAACTGTAGTTGCTGCAGAGAGAGAGGATGATGAAAATTAATATCTATACTGTATGGGCTTTTGTGCTGAATCCCATCTGGGATTCTCTGTCCTATTCCTGGCATCTGACATCAAGTCTAAAGGCTTTGAGAACCTTCTCCTTTAATCTCTGTGTGTCAGAATCTATCTTCCATTAGTTGTCTACCTCACCCCTATTACTGCCATCAAAGAAAGGAGGGAGAGAAAGGAAAGAGAGGTAGAGCCCATTCAAGCACCAGCATCCCCTAGAGGTTGTCTTGGGAATAGAGCATCTTTTCATTAATGAGAGAATATCTTGTAATGAAAAAAAACCTCCAGAATATAACATTTTTGTGTACACACACAAACACACACACACGATGGCAACTATGCAAAGTGGAGAAACATGTGAAGAAATAATAGAAGGAAATAACCCCAAATATTAATAATTGCAAGGTATAATGGAGATGTTCTTCAGAGATATGTTAGCTGGTTTATTAAGTTCATGGGTCATAAGTCCATGGGTCATAAAATGTCCACAAATTCTTTAATACTCCTCTCTTCTAATTCTTCTCCCTATGGGTATGGATTGCATTTAAATGTAAACAGGATGTGGAAGAAGAGATGGTGTCAGACCGCAGAGACAGGCTTCTCTTGCTCTCTCGGAGCACTTGCTCTGAAAGAAGTCAGCTGTCACACGAGAACACTCGAACTGCCCCATGGAGAGGCATATATAGTGAGGAACTGATCAGCCACATGTGAGGGGCTGCAAGCAGGTCCTCCAGCTCCCATCAAGCCTTCAGATGATTTAAGCTCCAGCCAGTATCTTGATTTTAATCTCAGAGACCCTGATTCAAAACTATCTCGCTAAGTCACTTTCAAGTTCCTGTCCTATAAAAATTATGAGATGATAAATGTTTATTGCTTTAAGCTACTAAGTTTTGGGGTAATTTGTTACACAGCCATAGAAATAAGTAATACAGTTAAACAGGCTGGAAGAGATTGAACACTTCCTAAGTAAAGATATAAAAAAGTGACTGACAGAATTAGAGACAACTTGGTTCAATCAAAAATCAAAACTGAGTTCAATAAGTGTGAGATTCTATTTTTAAGAAAATAAAGCTGTCAAGACATTTAGGTAATTACTGGTTGGCCTCATGTATAAGAGGAAAAAAAACACTAGGCTTCAGGGTGGATCATAAACTGCTTTGGACCAGGCACTTTCCTAAAAGGTCCAGTAAAATCTCATTAGAATGGTGTGCTCCGTGGCTGTGCAAGCAACATGCACGACTGGATGCTGATCCTCACGTGGGACCTTGTAATCTTTCTCAGTACTACAGGATTAGGTCCTTCCTGAGTGATATGTCCAGTTCTGCTCTATGTTTGAGAATTCATGGATGAAACAATTTTAGGGTAGACACAGGGAAGAACCTATGAAAGGGACAAACACGAAAACAAATTAACATGAAAAAAATGTGACAGTCTTTTTTTCTGAAAGTTCTTTTTTTTTTTTTTTTTAAAGATTTTATTTATTTATTTGACAGAGAGAGACACAGCGAGAGAAGGAACATAAGCAGGGGGAGAGGCAGAGGGAGAAGCAGGCTACCCGCTGAGCAGGGAGCCCGATGTGGGACTCGATCCCAGGACCCTGGGATCATGACCTGAGCCGAAGGCAGATGCTTAACGACTGAGCCACCCAGGCGCCCTCTGAAAGTTCTTAAATAGAAGCTAGATAAATTTTTGGATTATTCGCTAAGACTACTGGGCGAGAAGACAGTAGCCAAGAGAGAAATGAGGAGATGGAGCAAACACTTGCCACCGAGATCCCCTTAGTGTAGTGTTCACTGATACAAGGTTTAAGGTTGTCTCCGATAGGGTCATTCCTGACACCAACAGACCCCCACAATTAGTTTCCCTGGTCAAATTCCCGATGCTTATTTGTATCTAAAACTAACACACTCCTGACTGAAAATCTGGTCAAAGAGAAACCAGTGTATCCTTTACTTTGAAAAGCTTTTTCCTCATCTGGTCATTGCCACCCACTCTTGAAGGCCATACTCAAATTCTACTGCACTGAGAAGGCCGCTCCAATGCTGGCAACCACAGCCACCAGAGTTACTTTCTTTTCTGTGCTCTGTCACATTCTCTACTGTCACCTCTGCACACTGCAGTCCATCATTACCTCTGTTTGTCTCGGTCTCCGCTAACAGACTGTGGGATCTTTTACTCGTCTTTGTTTTCCTCTGAACCTAGACAGTATCTCATGCCTAACAGGTATACTGATGTTTAAGACATCACTGTTTCTATCACCTCAAGTCCTGGCCATTGTCATCAGAAGCCACATCTTCCACGTGCACCTGGTCACACTCCTGTTAAAAAACAAAACCACACACTATTTCAGTCCAGGGAGTAGAAGTGCTACCACCACCATGACATATTGTAAAAAGACCAAAAATAATGGCAGATGATGAACATGCTTACAGTCTCTTATGTGTGGAGGATCACTCTCACCCCCCTGCTGTCCAACTTCTTTTAAGGCCTAATTCATGTCCCATGGTCTCATGAAATCTTCCTTACCCAGCCTGACCCTCAGGTATACTCTTCTCTCAGTAGTCATGGGTATAACACAACAGCTCATGGGTATAAACACAAACTCCCTTACACTGTCAGGGATGTCTACGTCCTACGCTAGACTGTGAAGTTCTGTTATAAACTGCAGCCCTCCTGTGGCACAACCTGTATCCTACAGCTCCCTTGTACCCCTCCAGTCTAGTCCTTAAGTAGCATGTACCCAATACGTTTTTGCAGATGAAACAGATGCTGGTAGGGTATGGTATCAAAACGGAGAATGACTGAAACAGAAATCTGTAAGTCCAAACTTAGGAATTAGAAGTGGTCACCTAAGTTAATCTCCTCATGTTCTAAAAGTGAGGTGAAATGAATGACCCACGGCCACACAACTAGTGAGTGATAGAAAGAAACGAGAAAGTGCCTGGGCCTTCCAATTTGAATCCAAGGTTCTTTCCACCAAGCCCATACTACTATGAACTAAATGCCACCCACTACCTAAATCTGAGAGATTCATTTGTCTGACACCACCTAAGGCAATGTTGTGATGTCCGCCTACATCAGAATCCCCTGGGCAAGTTTTTTAAAAATGCATATTCTTGGGTCCACCCCAGACCTACTTGAATCAGAACTTCTGGGTGTGAAGTCCTAGAATCTTCATTTTTAACAAGCTCCCCAGGTGATTCTTATGCCCCCTAAAGTTGAGAACCACTGACCTGGGGGGCAGGAACATATTCAGGTCAAATTCTTCACAGAACTTTCAGTCCTGAGTGAGGTCTATGTCTAGAAAATCATTACAAATACAATTTGGCAATAATTATTGGCACAAAGTAGGTTTTCAATAAATGTTTGCTGAGTAAAAACTATGATGTCCTAACGTATCAACACGTGAAGCTGAGGAAGAGTAAAGCATTGTGGAGGTTAGACAAAGGTACTGGAGTTTAGAGACCTGGTAATTCAATTTGTTGGAGAACTGTCCATTGAGAAGAACTAGACTATCTTTAAAAAGAAATAGGATTACTTTTTGTTTATAAAATGCTATCTTATTTTTAATTAATTTTATTTATTTTAAGTAATCTTTACACCCCATGTGGGGCTGGAACTCACAACCCTGAGATCAAGAGTTGCATGCTTTTCCGACTGAGCCAGCCAGGTGCCCCACTATTTTATTTTTTAACTTACAATTTTCACTGTTTCTAAAAACTAGGTTATATAAGTAGTACACAGTTTGAAACTCAAAAGGGCATGAAGTGACAAGTCTGCTCCTTCCCACCTCTGGGTCCCAGCAACATATCCCCTTCCTCAGACAGAACTGTTACTAGTTTCTTGTGTAGGATAACTGCTTAACTGAGGCCCAAAATGGTGAGGTAACTTTCCTAACCTGGAACTCACACTCTGGTCTTCTGACTTCCCAGTCTTGTGCTCTTGCCACTACACCATGGTCACCTCAAAGGTGAACTCAAATGTCAAAGCCAAAAAATTCACCAAGAAGCTCTCAGTGTTCCTGGTTTTCCTTGCATCTAACTATACAATGATTCTGGACATCAAGGTTAACCTATACATGGATAATAAGCATGTATAAGTTATAATGAGTTAGAGCAGCCATTTATAGATCTGACAAATCAAGAGATTATATTTTAAGAAGGTAAAATCGAAAAATAGTCAAAATATAATTAAGAGTACAAAGAGTCAAACCCACCTTATTATATGTTATTTAAGACAGATGAACAAATAGGAATGTTGGTTTACACTTCACTGTTTTGTCTGAAGGGCTGGCATTTCCCCTAGGGCTAGATCACTTCCAAATAGGCTAACAAAAATCAAAATTTTGAACCAATAAAATTGAGGGCCAGTACCAAGACCGGTGACCTAGCTAAGGCACTGTTCTTATAAGACTACATAAGTCTAAGTGGCCAGTTGGCCTCTCCACAACCACCCCTTCTCACCACACTTCCTCTAAATACAATAAGCATAGGCTAGACAAATAGTTACTGAACAAACAAAATGTTTCACTGAAGCACAGAAACAATTTAAAATGCTTACCTCTAAGTCATTGAAAAATAGATGTGTATCAGCCACTTCAAAAATCATCTCTTCCATTGTTAAACCTGAGCCAATCACTACTGTTGGATCCTAGAAGACAATAAGAGAAAAATCTGTTTAATTTGGTACTAACAGCACTGGTTCCAATCTTATAAATATTTTGGAGTTATTCTGGGTCAAGGCCAAAACAACAGAGGCCTGCAAAAGTGCTTCTAACTGTTACTTATGCAATTTCATTCAGTTAGAAGAATCTGGGATTGTGCAAAGTTAAAAATTTCAGGACTTAGTTTTTAGAAAACTAAACACACTTACAACCAATTTGAGCGGAAATTCTGTTTTGTGAGAAATGCTATTGCTAAAATATTACTATTGTGATACCCATTATCTCCCTTCAGCCTCCCCACCATGCGTGCGTGCGCACACACGCACACACGCACACACACACACACACACAGCATGACACCAGAAGTCAGTTATCTGACAATCTTAACAGCCAGGAAATAAGTGAAGAAGGCTGAAGAATCAAAATATTTGTAGGAAAACCAATGCATCTAGCTTTAAAGTGACCCATCAGGTCTTCACTTGGAGGATGTATGCTCTTATTTTATACACTTTTATAATCAGCTTATACAGTGTACAAGCTTATGTCAGCTTACCAGCCTAGACACTAAAAGCCTGTGGAAAGTACTTCTAACAGAAACATTAATACAGTTAATAAATGGGTATAGTAAGAAAGCAAAGGAGGTAGATATTTTTATAAAATTTATTCATAGAAACTGAAAAATAGAAGCCTGGAGATAATCTGGTATAGAAACATATAGCTTATCCCTCTATCAAAGCTGATGTTTAGGGGCGCCTGGATGGTGCAGTTGGTTTAAATGTCCAACTCTTGGTGTGGAGTCTGCTTGGGATTTTCTCTCCCTCTCCCTTTGCCCCTCCTCCATGCATGTGTGCTCTCTCACTCTCTCTCTCAAATAAATCAATCAATCTTAAACAAACAAACCCCCCCCCCAAAACCCTGGTGTTTATATTGATGACTAAATAAGTTTAAATTCTGCTTGGTATATTTAGTATAAGGAGGTATGTAATCTATGTAAGAAAAATATTTTAGACTTTATATATATTAAATTTACATATCTGGTATATACTCAGCTAAATAAAATGCTCAGTTTGGGCTGTTAAAAGTGACTTAAGGTTAACACATCAGTCTTTGGAATATATAATCCTGAGACTCCACTCTGTTTTGAGCTTCATTCCCATATTTAGTCTTTATAAAATAGAACCCTTGAACAACTTCAGCTTACAGAACTGGTCCTAGGTCTGTCTCCAGCTTTATCAATACTGCCTGACATGCAGTCTGCTGTACAAGCCATCCGGTGAAGTTGTACATGGCAAGTGAAAGGCCAACAGGGTAAGACGGAGGTAGCAGAGAGAGTGAGTCAGGAGGAGGGCAGTTACAAAAAGGAAGAAAGACTCAAATTACCTTTCCATATTTTTGAGCATAGGATCCAGTAAGAAGAGAGTGAAAGATGATGATGGTTTCATCCAAGTCCCACAGAAATACCCGCTGAGGAAGGAAAACAGAAAAAAAAATGAGTGAGCATCTTTTCTAAATATAATGGAATGGAACAAGAAATACGTAACAGAAAAAAAAACTTAAAAATTCACATATATGTGAAAATTAAACAACACAACTTTCAACAAGCAGTAGATCAAAGAAAAAATCCCAAGTGAAATTAGGGAATACCTTGAGATGAATGAAAACAAAACACAACATACCAAAATTTATAGGCTGCAGTGAAAGCAGTACAAAGAGGGGAATTTATAGCTGTAAAATGCATGCCTTAAAAAAGAAGTAAGATCTCAATCAATAACATAACTGTACAATTTGAGGAACTGGAAAGAGCCAGCAGAAGGAATGGAAGACTAAAGGTTATAATGGAGATAAATAAATCAGAGAGTAGAAAAATAATAGAGAAAAATCAATGAAACCAAAAGTTGGTTCTTTGAAAAGATCTACAAAATTGACAACCTTTAGTTAGATTAACTAAGAAAAAAAAGAAGACTCAAATTAGTAAAATCAGAAATGAAAGTGGGGATGTTATTATCAATTTTACAGAAATAAAAAGAATGGTAAGACAATACCATGAAGAGCTGTATACTAACAAATAACCTAGATGGACACAGACAAATTCCTAGAAATACACAAAATGCAAAAATTGACTCAAGAAGAAATGGAAAATCTGGATAGACCTTTAACAGAGGTTGAAATCAGTAATCAAAAAGATACCAAGAAAGAAAAAAGCCCAGGACCAGATGGTTTCACTGTTAAATTCTACCAAACATTTAAAGAAGAATTAACACCAATCCTTCCTTAACTCTTCCAAAAAGTTGAAGATGAAGGAATACTTCTTAAATCATTCTATGAAGCCAGCATTACCCTGATACTGAAGTCAGATAAAGACACTACAAGAAAACTGCAGACCAATATCTCTTAAGAACATCAATGCAAAAAATCCTCCACAAAAATACTAGCAAACAAAATTCAAGCAGCATATTAAAAGCACTGTACATCATGACGCTGCGGGATTTGTTTAGAATGCAAGGATGGATCAACATACAAAAATTAATCAATATAATATGCTACCTTAAGAAAACGGAGGGAAAAAAACCCAATGGTTATTTCAATTGATGCAGAAGCATCTGACAAAATTCAACACACTTTCATGATAAAAATACTCAATAAACTAGGAGTAGAAGTGAATTTCTTCACATGATAAAGACTGTATATGAAAAACCCAGAATTAATATCTTACTCAATGGTCCAAGACTGACAGCTTACATAAGTAACAGAAGCACTTTATCCTGGAGATCAGGAATAGGACAAGTATGCCTGTTTTTACCACTTCTATTCAACGTTAAGTACTAGAAATTCTAGCCAGAATAATTTGGCAAGAATTGGGGGGAAAAAGGGTACCCAAACTGGAAAGGAAAAAGTAAAATTATCTCTGTTCACAAATGACACGATCTTATATAGAGAAAGCTCTATAAAGAATCCACAAAAAATGTTAGAGCTAATAAATGAATTCAGCAATGAGCTGTATTTCTATATACTTGCAATGACTAATCCTCAAAGAAATTTAAAAACAATTCCATTTATAATAGCATCAAAAATAATAAAATAACTTGGGACGCCTGGGTGGCTCAGCTGGTTAAGTGTCTGCCTTTGGCTCAGGTCATGATCTCAGGGTCCTGGGATTGAGTCCCGCATCTGGCTCCTTGCTCAGTGGGGAGCCTGCTTCTCCCTCTGCCTGCTGCTCCCCCTGCTTGTGTTCTCTCTCTCTCTCTCTGACAAATAAATAAATAAAATCTTAAAAAATAATAAAATACTTAAGCATAAATTTAACTGAGGGGTGCCTGGGTGGCTCAGTAGGTTAAGCATCTGACTCTTGATTTTGGCTAAGGTCATGATCTCAGGGTCGTGAGCTCAAGCCCCACATCGGGCTCTGTGCTGGGCATGGAGCCTGCTTAAGATTCTCTCTCTCCCTCTGCCTCTCTCTCTCTCTCTCTCTCTCAAAAAAAAAAAGAATAAATTTAACTGAGGAGGTGAAACACCTGTATACTAAAAACTAAAAAACACTGCTGAAGGAAATTAGCTGGATCTAAATGGAAAGACATCCCATGTTCATGGATGAAAGATTTAACAATGTTAAAGTGACAATACTACCCAGATGACTTAAAATTCGATGCAATCCCTATCAAAATCCCAATAGTTTTTAAAGAAATAGAAAAACTCATCCCAAAATTCATATGGAATCTCATATACCATGGCCTGAATGGCCAAAATAATCTTGAAAAAGAATGAAGTTGGAAGACTAACATTTCCTGATTTCAAAACTCATTACAAGGCTACAGTAATAATCAATACAATGTGGTACCTCCAAAAGGAAAGACACACAAACCAATGAAATTGACAAGATGACTCAGAAATAAACCCTTACATATATGGTCAATTTTTTTTTTTTTTAAAAGACTATTTATTTGAGAGAGAGAGAGCAGAGCAAGAGACAGAGCATAAGTGGGGGGGTAGGGGTAGAGGGAGAGGGAAAAGCAGACTCCCTGCTGAGCAGGGGGCCCGATGTGGAGCAGGGAGCCTGATATGATTCAGGGCCCTAATCCCAGGACCCTGGGATCATGACCTAAGCCAAAGGCAGGCACTTAACCAACTGAGCCACCCAGATGCCCCCAAATATGGTCAATTTTTGACAAGGATGCTAAGACCATTCAATGGGGAAAGGAAAATATTTCCAACAAAAGGTGCTGGGAAAATTGGATGTCCATGTGCAAAAGAATGAAATTAGACCCTTACTTTACACCATATACAAAAATTAACTCGGGGCACCGAGTGCCTCAGTCGTTAAGTGGCTGGGTGGCTCAGTCATTAAGCGTCGGCCTTCGGCTCAGGTCATGATCCCAGGGTCCTGGGATCGAGCCCCGCATCAGGCTCCCTGCTCCGTGGGAAGCCTGCTTCTCCCTCTCCCACTCCCCCTGCTTGTGTTCCCTCTTTCGCTGTGTCTCTCTCTGTCAAAGAAATAAATAAAACTTAAAAAAAAAGTCTCTTAAAAAAATTAACTGAATATGAGAAAAAATTAATTCAATATGAGTCAAAGACCTAAATTTATGAGCTATGACAATAAAATTCTTAGAAGAAAACACTGGTAAATATCTTTATAACCTTGTATTTTTAACACTAAAATACAAGCAATAAAAGAAAAACAGGACTTCAACAAAATGTAAAACTTTTGTGCATCAAAGAATACTATCAAGAGAGTAAAAAGAACTCATGGAATGGGAGAAAATATTTGTGCATTATATATCTGATAAGCGATTAGTATCTATAATATATAAAGAATTCCTAAAACTCAACAACAAAATACCAAAAACCCAATTAAAAACCGGGCATAGGATTTGAACAGCTATTTCTCCAGAGAAAATATACAGATGGCCAATAAATACAGGAATAGATGTCAACATTACTAGTCATTAAGGAAATGGAAATCAAAACCATTTCACATCCATTAGGATGGCTATTATTTAAAAAAAGGGGGGGAATAATAAGTGTTGGTGAGGACGTGGAGAAATTAGAACCCTCATGCATTGCTGGTGGAAATGTATAATGATGTAGCCACTATGGAAAACATTTTGTTGTTTCCTCCAAAAGTTGAACATAGAATTACCATATAATCTAGCAATTCTACTCCTCAGTTTATACCCAAAATAACTGAAAAGAGAGACTCAAAGAAATACCTGGATAGCAATGTTCATAGCAGCATTATTCACAATAACTCAAAGGTGAAAAAACCACTAATGTCCATCAACAAATGAATGGGTAAACAAAACATGGTATATATACATACAATGGGGTATTATTCAGCCATAAAAAGAAATGAAGATCTTACACATAGATGAACCTTGAAAACATTATGTTAAGTGAAAGAAGCCTCACACAAACGGTAGCTATTGTATCATTCCATTTATATGAGATACTCAGAATAGGCAAATTCCTAGAAACTGAAAGTAGAATAGAGGTTACCAGGGGCTAGTGGGAGGGGAGAATGGGGGGTTATTGCTTAATCGGTATAAAGTTTTTGTTGGGGATCATGAAAAAGTTCTGGAAATAGATAGTGGTAACAAACAACACTGTAAATGTACTTAATGTCACCGAACTGCAAACTTAAAAATTGGTTAAAATGGTAAATTTTATGTTATGTATATTTTACCACAATTTAAAAAACTAAATGGGTTCTCAGTTTTTCCCAATAAATGTAAAAGGACTTTAGATTTTTTTTTTGCTTTTTTTCTTGGTCAGGAACAAAAGGAAAGAGAGTTCCCCAAACACAGCCTCGATTTACTTACGTCTTAATGCCTACCAATGAACTCATTTTTAAATACAGCATCCCCCTGCCCATTAAATGCTCATATTATAGAAAAATTGAATACAAAAACAAAAGCGTATAAAAATTATTAGCATTTTGTATGATTTTCTAATCTTTTTAATAATGAAGCCAAATGTATGCCTGTAATAAATTCTTATAGTGCTTAACCACAAAATAAGTGCCTACCAATCTCATTAATAAGTTACCAGATCTCGTCGTGACTGCTTCACATAAAGCACTCTCATCTTCTCATTTTACTTTTAGATTTTCAAATGGAGAACACTATGACATTATTTGTGACACCCTGTGCTTTCTGAATATGAGGGAACTGTTCTTTCTGTCCTCCTCTGGAACACAGAGAACAGTTTGTTCTTTCTCTTAAAAAGTTACCTGGCTATCTAAATTCAGAAAAGCTTTTTCAATGCTTTGGTGAAAAGCATCTGGAAGTAATATGGGGAGTTATGGGCACAGAGAAATGTGTTTTTACATTTCTCTCTTCACCTGGCCAATTTTCGTTTCTCTTGCCCAGGAATCCGGGCGGGGGGGGCGGCATTCAACAAAGAACTACAGTTTCTCCATGAGTTTCAGATATGTATGTTCGATGAACTTAAAAAATGAGACAAAAAGTAGGTAACTCAAATGAGCTCCTTCCCATACTTCCAATTCACTGTCCTGGGAAGAGCTGGCATCAGCTTTCCTTTTGCCTCGGTTCTTGCCAGTCATGTTTTTTCTGGACTGGTCATCAGCATCTTTATTTGGTGTAGTTTGGGACAAAGATGGACTTGAAGAAGGGTCTCCTGGAATGAAAAGCGAGACATATATTGCCAGTAGTCACAGGCTATAAGAACCAGAGCTGGAAGAGGGTCAGCATGCTTTCTACCCTTAAGAATCATATTGCAGGGATAAAGGTTGGAAAATCAAACTTTACCTAATCAGTTTAGGAATATAGACCTAGGCATCAACATCGAGCATCAGCAGCTCCTAACATCACAGAGAGAGTTATAACAGAATTTATATACCTGCCTCTCAATGGAAGAACACAGCTATAAAGTTGTTTTGCCAAAAAAGACCCCCAAAAAATCTGAACCTGTATCTGGTCAAGTTTCTACATCAGAGTTTTTCGACATGGCACAATTGACATTTTGGGCCAGATAAATTTTTTGTTGAGTCGATGTCATGTGCATTATAGGATGTTTGGTTAAGCAGCATCCTTGGCCTCTATCCACTAGATGCCAGTAGCACTCCCCACCTGCTGTGACAACCGAAAATGTTTCCATACGCTGCCAAATGTCTTAGGTGAATGCGGGAGAGGGCATGGCACAAAAATCACCTTTAGTTGAAAACCACAACTCTAGGTCTATTTACCAATTTAAAATGAAATACAGAAGGCAGCAGGAAATGTTGATCTACCCGATACAGAGAAAATCAGCAAAATTCAGACTGGGAAATGGCATGAGATAAACACTTTCTTCACAAATATAGTACATCAGAAAATAAAAAAAGAGGGGAATTTACAACTTTAAAGAGACAAAATATATATCCACCAATCCCAATGTACGGACCTTACTTTGATCCTAATTTCAATAAACTATATAAAAGGAAAATAAAACTTTTAACATTTATGAGAAAACTAGAAATAATACCTTTTAGTATTTTATGATATTAAGGAATTACTGTTGAATTATTTCAGATGGGATAATAGCACTGTGGTTGTGCTAACAAGTATTTATCTTTTAGACATATGATGCCGGGAATTCAGTGAGAGAACTAGATGAAGTATAGTTGAAATACGAGTTAATTGTTGAAGATGGATGATATACATAAGAGGTTCATTATACTATTCTGAAAACTTCTAGGTTTGAAATTCCCTCTTATTAAAAAGTTAAAATTGTTATGAGGAACAGATATTTAGAGCTCTGAATTCAAAACTAAGGCATCAACATGTGTAACTATTTCAAAGTTCTGTAAGTTTGAAGCAGTGACCATCTGTATGTCTATTTCCTTAGAAGACTAATGAAGGCAAGGTGTACAAAAAACTGATTTGAGGTAGAACACTGTTTTTAAAAATGCATCAGTACTAACAATAAACAGTCCTTCCTCCAGTTACATGATGTAACAGCCAACCACCAAATTTTCCTGAATGAGAGAGACAAATAAAAAGCATATACATATGTTTATTTACTGAATGTGTGTATAAAGCCTTTATGTCAGGGTTGTTTTTTTTTTTTAAACCTGAACTTCACAACTCATCGATACATTTCAAACCAACCTAAATGTATAGGTTTAAACTTGTAGGTTAAATTTTATGTATTTCCTTGGGGGCGGGGGAAAGACATAGCTTTCCTCAGGATCTTGGAGATCCATGACACAGAAAAAGTTAAGAACTACTGCTCTGAGGTCTCAGCAGGCATCCAAAATATGCACAGACTAAAACTGGAGTTCTTCAACTTTTACAAAATGTGCCACTCTTCTGAAGTCCCTGTGACAAGCACATTAAAGCTAAAGGGTGGGGTGGGTGTCGCAGTCTTTTCACTCTTGGTACTTTTCTGTTCACAGCATCAGGTATTACATTCGGCCTGCCAATGACTCATCATATAGTCTGGTTCCAATGTTTAAATATTCCTCACCCAAGAGGGAAAGCCAATAGCACAGTAACTGACTTAGACCAGAACAAAATGATCTTTACTATTACATGGTGAATGAAGTGCCCTTAAGCCAAAGTTTTCAGAGCTACGTGCTTACCCGAGGAAAGTCTCTGTGCCGTAGGTGCAGGTACCATGACACTAGGCTTCTCGGTCTGGTATGTGGCTGCTGCTAATGTGGTACTCTCAGTATCACTGTTAGTCTGGCCTGTGCCTCCAAAGCTGGAGCTGGGGTAGCAGGTCTGGTACTGACTCTGACCAAGGATAGTGTAGGTGGGATAGTCCTGTAGACCAACGGAATAAGGGAGGAAAACAAGACTCTTAGAGCAAAACGATGATTTCAACACAAGAGACTTTCGTGTCTCTCTTATTCATAGTTATTTTCCTAAGATATTTATTTGACTTCTCATTTACCCATCTATAGCTTCCACCTAAACCAATGATTTTCAAAATGTATTCTGTGGAAACCTAAGAGTCAAGAGGAGAGACCTCAGGGCCTATCTTTGCCATGAGCAGGAGGCTGAGAGGGAAGGGTCCCACTCACTCTACACACAATGTCCCTTTTCTACTCTAACGGCTTTCTTTTTTTTTTTTTTATTTTAGGTACTGAATTTCTGTATAAATTTCTGCACAGAATTTCTGAAGATTCTATTCTTTAAGAAGTTTATAAGCAACTGCACTAGATGCTAGTGCTTTCTAAGTACAGATGAGCTTAAACAAAAAAAGCACATATCCTACATTAAGGTTTCCCAGTTTAAAAACTGAGTACTGGGGGACACCTGGGTGGCTCAGTTGTTAAGTGTCTGCCTTTGGCTCAGGTCATGATCCCAGGAGCCCCGCATCGGGCTCCCTGCTTGGCAGGAAGCCTGCTTCTCCCTCTCCGGCTCCCCCTGCTTGTATTCCCTCTCTCACTGTGTCTCTCTCTGTCAAATAAATAAATAAATAAAATCTTTAAAAAAAAAAAGCAAAACACAAAAAAACCCCTGAGTATTGGGGCGCCTGGGTGGCTCCGTTGGTTAAGCGTCTGCCTTTGGCTCAGATCATGATCCTGGGATCCTGGGATCAAGCCCTGTGTGGGGGTTCCCTACTCAGTGGGGAGTCTGCTTCCCCTCTCTCCTTGCCCCTCCCCCCTCGTGCTCTCTCTCAAATAAATAAAATCTTTAAAATAAAATAAAATATTTGGAGGGAGGGGCGCCTGGGTAGCTCAGTTGGTTAAGCGTCTCTGACTCTTGGATCTCGGCTCAGGTCTTGATCTCAGGGTCATGAGTTCAAGCCCCCACTGTTTTAAAAAAAAGAAAATTGGAGGGAACTTCATGGGCACATACATGTCAAAACTTATCAAACTGTATGTACAATTTAAATTTATGCAGATTATTGTATGTCAATTATACCTTAATAAAGCTGTACAAAAAATGTGTATGATGTATAGCTCAAAAACATACCTTAAAGAATTTCAACTTATACTGATGTTGGTAAGAAGTAGAAAGAAGCTAATCAACCAGACCAATTATAAAGAGTACTGAGCATCTATCATAAACCAAATACAACTCAGTCAGGGTGTGTGCTCATAAGCTGGAACATTAAAGAAAAGAGTTAAGTTGTACTGGCTGAACTCAAGGGAGTTAAAAGTCTAGCAGGAGAAGACAACAATATTTCCAATAAATTGGCAATAAATTATATGTCAAATGAGTGAAATACAGAGGAAGACAACTATCCCTGCAGACTGTGGTAGTCAGAGCTTTCTGAGATAAACAGAGGGAGTAAGACCATGAATATGCCCTGAAAAGGTTTTATATTAAGGGACCAGAGACATTGAGTCTGGTTGAAACAAAAGATCTTGCAGGCTTGAATGAGTCATGCAAGCCCATGAATGTGACTTGGATATGGTGTATAGTTTGGCAATGGTGTATAGTTTGGCAATGGTGTATAGTTTGTGTGTGGAGCAGGTAATAGGGACTATCAAAATCAAAACAACAAAAATACAAAAAGATTCTGGGACAGGTGACTGACGTGGGCTTTTGAGAAAATTACTCAGATACTGTTTTAAAATCTTTTAAAAAATTTTTTTTTAGTAATCTCTAACCCTAACATGGGGCTTGAACTCATGACCCCGAGATCAAGAGTCACACGCTCCACTGACTGAATCAGCCAGGCGCCTTCAGATAGTGTTTTAGGAAACGGTTAGGTATAGAGAAAAACTGGAGATGAGATGAACAGTTAACTGAAGTAATCCAGGATTAAAGGGGAAAAGCCAAAACATGGGAAATAGTCGCAAAAATGGAAAAGAATTCTAGAAATGGCTGGATTAGGAATGGGTGAGAAAAAAACTGAAAACAACTGGTTTGGTTTGAGGCCTAGCTTTATTTAAAAATGGTCTCATTGACAATTGAGAAGTCATAGGGAAAAGTGGTTTTACTTTTGGAGGACAACGAGACAAAAAAAGGAGGAATGAAAGCGTGGTTTTTGATATGATGAACTTAAGGATATAGCAAGACATTGAAGAAAAAAATGGGCATCAATCAGCAGGAAGCCTGTAGATATCATGAGGTCAGGACTAGAATGTTCATTTTGGAGGTAGTAAATGGACACTGTGAATGTGGTTAAACATTTCTGGGGGTGAAGTAATAAGCATGTGGAAAACTACATACTGTCCATGAGAGAAAACAGGATCAAAAAGAAAACCTATGAAAGGGAAAGAGATAAATAGTACACTGATAAGTGCCACGTGTACAGTAGAAACTCAGTAATTTGTGAACTATAAGAATGAACAAATGCAAAAACAGTCAAACATAAAAGATGAACCAGAATAGTAATGTTAATTACAGCCAGAAAAAGAGATTCACGGAGAAAAGATTCATTGCTGCAAGGAAAACAACAAATAAAAACCTAACAGCAAAAACAAAAAATGCTAAAACACTGAAGCTATTACCAGTGATCTAAACATAAAGAGTTAATAGAACAGGGATCAAGACCAGACTACAAAGAATTCACAAAGGAATAAGTGGCTAAATAAAAAAGTGGAAGGAACATTCATTCCACAAATATTTATTTTGTGTCTTTAATGTGAGAACCAGGCATTTTCTGAACTCTGGGAATATACAAGCGAACAAAATAGAAAAAGAAGTCCCTATGCTCATGGAGCTTACATTCTAGTAGGAACAGAGTAGGAGGTAGACTCACAAAGTAGATAAAAGAGCAGATACAGTCATATCATTCAGAGACTTAGCAGAGTAATGAGAGAAACTGGATGGCAGCCTGAGAAACCATCCAGGGTCCTAGTTCTGGTTGTTTCTTAGATTGGAAAATTGACCATGGAGTGAAGAGAAGAGCAAGCTTGATGAACCATATCAAATAGGATGAATGAGGTAGCACAGTACCTGGTTTGAGATGCTGGAAACTGCTGCTGCTGGAATATTGGCAATTGTAGATGAAGTGGGTATCAGGCTGGCATTTGTGCTTGAAGCTATAGGATTAAGAATGTCAAAAGATGTTAAAGATATCATGTAAAAGCCTAGAAGAAATGGAAAACATATTGTCTTATGTAAACAGATCTATAAGGATATCAAGAACATCGTGCAAAGGAAACAAATACTGATTTTGCTCTTTTGTGTGCCATACCTTACTCTAGTCTTGATTAGAAATAAAACAGTTCAAACATTTTTCTGTTTCAACTTGAGTTTTCAACTCTTCCTATTAAAGTCCTAGGAAGGGTACGTATAAAACGCACTGGCTCATACTAAGGATATCAATGGAATTAGAAGCTAAACCAAATCACTCCAGTCTATCTTCTGAGACCTTGAAAAATGACTCACCTGCGATGTGACCTACTAATAACAACCAACAGAAACAAGAGCTCTGGTAGATCCACAAGTAAATTCTATACTGTGATATTTGTTGTCACTTGCCCCAAATTATGCCTTTCCTAATGCAATATAATTACTTTGAGAAATACAGCTGATCCCCCAAACGTGCTTGGAGTTGCTTCTTGGGCTCTACTCAAATCGTGGATTATTAATGTGGATCAACAAACATGATGATCTGGCATTTAATGATTTTGGAAAATCTTGGAAAATATTAAATATTATTCTGGCCTGGTAACAATGTACTCTGTAAGCTATTTAGGCTGCCTGTCTTGGGACAAGGAATTTGGGCTAATTTTTTCATACCCTCCCATCACAGATTCCACCACGGTTTTAGTCAAATTTTTAGTGACTACTATTTGCTAAAGTGACTTTTTCCAAGTGGACAGTGTAACGGAGACTGTGAAGTACTGGTCTTGAACTCCTCTCCCTCGCTTATCATAAGCACACGTAGACATAGTTTCCACTGCTGTCACACACGCCATAAGGGTTCACCATCAGGCAGACCTGACTATCTGACTACCTATCCCATTAGCAATAAAGTCCTTTACAGGTAAAGTTAATAGGAAAACCTCCATTAAAAACAAAACAGATGAACAAATGAAGCAGAAACGTGAGAGTACTCATCAAAATCAGGGGAATTCTTATCCCTTTCCCCAAGGGTACTCTGCTTAGAAGAAAGTCTAGAAGAGATTAGAAGAGAAAGTCCAAGGAACAGCTATTGCTGCAACTCCAGCTTTCAAATGAACTTGGGACAAAGGAGAGTTAAGGTAATTTGTCTACTGTCATGGAACTAGTAGTAGTCATAATGGTGACTGGGATCTCCCAACTGGATGAGCTAGGGTTCAGATTTCCTGACTATCCAGGGAGATTTTCTTTTCTACAATACTTCTTCCCCCAGGGGAACGAAAGGACTCTTAAGAGTTTACCTTCTTAAACATAACAACCAAATGAAATAGATTTTATAACCTCACAGATGGTATTTTCTTCCTACCAATATTTTTTCTTCTCTACTATGGCTTAATCTATTTTCCCCCCTGACGGGGAAGTACAAGGAATTACCGTACAGTACATAGGCTTAGAAGATTCTGTAAGTAGTTTTTAATCATTCTTGTGGGTAGAGATTTTGAGTGGCTTTCAGGTTTTATTACCAGTACATTATGCTAGGCAACCATGCAATAAAACAGACAGAAGGACATAAGGTGATTTAAGGTGGGAAAGAAAATTAACAATTTACTTAATCTCTTAAATTTATCTCTCCTAGAAAAGTCCATTTCTAGCTCAATTTTTCATTGGTCTTTATTCTAGCACATGCTCCTCTTTTCCTATTTACCTTTAATTCTGTTCTACCTTCTTACTAACTAAATGGTTAGCGGTACAACCCATTCATATCTGATCTTCACATACATGGGGAAAAAGGTACTCTGACTGACAAAGTGGTTTTATAAATTTAACAATTTTCAGACCACTTATTGAATTGGGCTAGAGGTAAAAAGGTAGACCTTACAAACAACTGGGCATAGACTCTTATTATCTTCACTAGGAAGTTTAATGACTTGATTGGCTAGTTGCTGATACTGAATTTTAAATAAGTACCTTACTAAAGATCACAAACTACTTTCAGCAATAGTGACTTCTATTATAGGAAATGTTGGCCTGCTGACCTAGAAAGTTTATAGGGTTCAGTAACACTTCTTTCTCCAACTCACTCAAATCATTTCTCACATGTGCCGTAGTTCATTCATTCAGGAAACCACGGTCCATTATGCACCCAGAAACTGTTCCAGTCACTAAGGAATAGAGTAGTGAACAAGGCAAAGTCCCTGTCCTCATGGAGATTAGATTCCACTGACAGAGTTAGACGATAATTAAATAAATCATTTTTTAGGCTCCTGTAACCATCATTGAACCCAAGCTAAACTCACCTAAAAATGTACACCCATCACTGTATACCCTACCCTACACATAACTATGACTAAAAAGCCACATATCTCAAAAAAGTACTTATCATTCTGCACATATATACACACATATATATGTCTCAACAAATAATACTCAACTGCAGATTTAAAAAACAAAAGCAGCAGCAATAAAGGTCCAACAAAAAGTACAAACTTAGAGGATCAAATAAAACTCAAGTGTTCAATCCTATTGATATATATCTGAAGACTATTAGCTCTTCAAATGCCATGGCATGGCCAAATGTTTTGGGATAGTCTCCACTCCTGTTCTGACAATGGAGCTGTGAAATAAGAGAAAGACAAAGATACTGAGAACCATGCCCCATTAGAGGTCCAATTAATAAATATGAAAAGAAGAGACTCAGCAGTTTCCTCATAGGTGTGTTGTGAAGAACCATGCCCCACTAGAGGTCCAAATAATACAGTCAACATATATAGACAGCTTTAATCAGAAGACGGTGGTTACAGAACTGTGAGAGGCACAGCCGAATTAAATGACACTGTCCCAAAGCCAGAGGGCTGACCTAAGGGTCAATGGTACATAAAAGTTGGCACAAGATTTACTTTCTACCCATGTCTAATTTTATACATGTCTCTCTCTACCACCCTTGTTTACCTGGCTTTCAAGTTATTCAAAATAAAGACGAGCTCTTTCTCACTTGAGCACCTTTGCTATGTTACTCGCTCTGCCTGGATTGTTCTCCCTGGCCTGTCCCTCTTGCCCTCCCAGCATGATGGCTCCTCCTCAGCATGTCTACTTCTTCAGAGATACTCTCTTTGACCCCTCTATTAAAACTAACTCCTTCGGGCGCCTGAGTGGCTCAGTCGGTTAAGCTCTTGATTCCGGCTCAGGTCATGATCTCAGGGTCGTGCCATCAAGCCCTGCATCCAGCTCCACACTCAGCATACAGTCTGCTTAAGATTTTCTCTCTCCATCTCCCTCTCCCTCTGCCCCTCCCCACCACCCCCCATTTGCAAGCTAATTTAAAAAAATAATAATAAAACAAAACTCCTTGTTTTCCCAATCACAGCAATCTATTCTTTTTTTCTTTCAGAGAACTTTTCAAAATCTGTTTAATTATTTATTTGCTTGTTTTCTGTTTCCTCCACTCGTCTGTAAGCTCCACAAAGGCAGAATCTTGCTATCTTATTCATTATCTTTAATATCTGGCAAAAAACCTGACACAGAGTAGGTGATGCTCAATAAATACTTGTGGGATTCACGTCTATCTTGTAGACATGTATATTCCTGTATAACTTGTGGGATTCATCCATAGTATGTCAAGGTCATCAAAAACAAGAAAACCCTGAAAAACTGCATAGACAAGAGGAACCTAAGTAGACATGACAATTAACAAAATGTGGTATCCTGGATGGGATCCTGGAACAAAAATGGACTTAGGTAATAATAATGTACCAATATGGGTTCATTAGTTGTAATATATGTTCCATTCTAATATAATATGTCAATAATAGGGAAAATTATATGCAAGATTGGGGATATATAACTCTCTGTACCATCCTCTCAATCTTTCTGTAAATGTAAAATTAATCTAAAAACTAAAGTTAAACAACAGAACAAAACAAAACTCCTGGTGAATGAAAGACAATCAAAAAAGACTATCATGTGCTACCAACAATATTAGAGGGCAAACACATTCATTAAAAGTCAAGACTGAGTTAAAATTAATTTTGAAATTTCTAAAATTAATTTTACCACTTGAATATTAACCATTTAAGCCATCTCAACTGAAGAAAATAATCAGAGACTGGGCCACATAGTTATACCCCAGGAAAAGACTGACATAAAGAAGCCAGATCTACATAACCAAAGGGTTTTCATGAGCATTATTGTATAAACTGAAGAAAGGGTTTTGATCAGAGTTGATGAAGCCAGAAGTATAATTCTTTTTAGATTGAAATCATACATTTTAAAAGAAACTGCAGTATGTTGACACACATTACATTAGCTTCAGGTGTACAACATAGTGATCTGACAACTCTATATGTCAACTGTAGAATGCTTTGGGGTATGATGAGGAGTCACTGCTATTCTGACCACTTTTCAAAAATTGATAGAATTCTTCTTGTTTTTATTCTGTGGAAGGACTGGATAGTTACACAGGGGGAACAGAGCAGCCCTGGATAGCTAACATTCACTATCCATGCTAAGTGAAACTAAAGGTGGGAGTGAGGAGAGTGATATTGATAGCAGACAACCCAGGTAATTTGATTCTGCCAATACTCGTATTTCACTTTAGCCAATTGTTTCAACTTGTATTCTACCAATTTTTTCTTCAGAATAAAGGCAAAAATTAATAACTTGATGGTTACCTTCTGCCTTAAATTCTACCCTCTGCCAAAGTTCTAATGAACAACAAAATGGGCCAAGAGGTTAACCAGAAAAAGGGAGGAAAAATAAACTTAGTTATCTGTCAGTAAAGGTTATCACTTATGGGAGAGTTGATACTGACATCAGGATTTCAATACTGAAAATGATAAATATTGCACTCATGCTCTGAGGTCAGATTGCCCAGCTTACATCCTGACTTAATTATTTACTAACTGGTAAATGGATCAAGTAGAAGTAGTTCTTAATCATTTAAATGAAAACAAAACTGGGTAGCAAAATATTTTATTTAATATAATCTACATAAAAACACTTTTTCATCACCAAAGTTCATATCTTACTAGTATCTCAGACCAGTTTTTGCTGTCCCACCCTCACTCCTCTAGCACCCATTTTAAAAGGAATAAAATTTTAAAGCTAGGAGAACTCAGGAGAAAGGAGGCGGATGAGAAGCCAGGTACATGGACATTAATTTCCAATCTGGAGCAATGATGAATTGCCTGTGTTAGATTTGGAAGGGCAGGGAATTAATTCCATCGTGCCTTCTGAGTTTTTCTGTCTTCATTCCTAATAGTCCTGTCATAATTCTAACCTTTTAGAAGAACAACTCAGGAAGGCAAAGATGTTCAGAGTTCAAGCTTTAAGGCTATGCTTTTTATCATGAAACAGAAACAAGACTAAACTTTTTGAGAAAGAAAAATGCTCTCACCAAGAAGCAGCAAGTGGGGTGGAGGTATGACAACACAGTAGCAAAAAAGCAGCACACATCTCACTTCTGCCCTATGTGGACTTCATATAAAAGAAGTCAGCAAAGTTCTACCCCATGGAATCTTCTGCTCATTTATAGGACAAAATGCCACTGAGAACAGACTAAAACAAAATCAGACAGGTTTTCTGGACACCAACATGCAAAAGGGAAGGCTTCAATTCTACTAAGCAGTTCACAGTTAAAAGGCTAAACTACTTACAAACCACAGTCCTGGGTTCTGGTTTGCCTAACACAAAAAGCATGCACAAATGCAAATATCACCCCCTTCTATTTTACAGGACAGAGCTCCTGTATTACCCAATTTGTTTGGAGATACAGATAGGCTGAAAACAACAAAAACAACAATAATAAAACACACACAACCATGCCTATTTACCTTGAATGGGATAAGAATAATGTGCTGGGCTTGGCTGGCTTGTGGTTAACCCTGTAGTGCAGGTAAGAACACTGTGTTGACTTGGAGATGGAGTCTGAATTAAACCACTTTCAGGTTTCATACCTGGCCACAATGCACCTGAATCAGATAAATTGGACCAATTACAAACAATACACTGGGACTGAGGAGCATGGTTATGCTTTCAAATATCAGCCAGTAGGTTTAAAACCTAAATCTTAGAACAAAAGTAAATTTGCTTGTAAGAGAAAATTACTGATTCTCCCACTCACAATATACCACAAGCAAATACAGTTTCAAAGACTGGGGAGTGGGGCCACAGAAACAAAAATCTTGTCAAAAACCCCAATAATGATATATATATATATAAGTTCATTTCAATGGTTGAGGGAGACTGACCAGGGTTCAGAAAAAAAAGCTACTGACACCCAACTGGAGTATTTGTTGTAGATAGTGCCTGATGATCATGTACAGTGATAAATCATTTATCCATTGTCAAGGTGGGAGACATTCCACATAAGTTTAAAATTCACTTACCCATTAAACAAGCACCAAATCTTTCTAAAATGTATTAAGTACTTTTCTGCCTTCTTAAGCTGGTTATTTTGTCACCTGTTTCTTCTGATTAGGAAAGACATACTTGCTTATTTTTATAAATTAAAAACATTACAGAAATATATAACTTAGAAAAAAATAAAGTCATATATAATCCCAGCATCCAGACTTAAGCACTATTAACAGTTTGCAGAAGTCACTTAGATTTCTTCTATGTAATCTTTTTTCTTTTTAATAAAAATGGGATGTTATACATACTGTTCATAATTTGCTTTTCCACATAATACCTGTGAAAGACATCTTTCCAAGTCAGAACACATAAATCTCTCATACTGATAAATTTCATAGCTGTTCACTTTTATTTTATTTTTATCACAATGCTCCTGAATGACAATCTTTCTAAAATATATTTATATCTTTTCCTGCCTTCTTTGCAGGGAGGAAATAGTGAACGTACCTTTAGATTTTCTCAGAATTATTGTCACAAAGATTAATAGTGTGCTGTGCTATATATATTACAGAGACACCCCCAGAGGCTACTGGGATATGTAAAGACATTTGTTTAGTACTAAAGAGAACTGAGTTATACTTCTATATCATTTTGTTTTTTTCTCTGTGACTTGTCACTTGACATTCTCTTGCTTCTCACTTTATCTCCTTTTTCATTTGCAGTAAACTAAGAAACCATAAATGAAGCTTTGATTCTACATGACAGCCTAAGGATGTCCTTTATGGTGAATAGTTTTAGTGACAATTTTGGCTTTACAAAGATCTATCTATAAAAAACCTTACTGTTTGGTTGTTCACTGTGTTCTGAACAGCTATGGCTGGTGGATCAGTGCAGTTGAAGCTAATAATTAGGTCCAAGAAGGTTCATCAATCACATTCCAGGTCAGAAATCAATACCAAGGTCAGCCACAGCTTCAAATTCAATATTAACTCATTTCATTCACTTCTAATCTGATATTGAATTTATAGAAATATAATGCACTGATAATAGAGTCCTCTGTTTCACCAGGGCACTGAGATATCTAGGTGCAACTCAGATCTCTAAAATTTGTTGATTAGTAAATGTAAGGGAGATGTGAAAATCTCAAATTGACATGGGATGTGGCAATTGCCTTGTTCCAAACTCAAAACACACACAAAAAAGTCATATTCTTTTCTCACCTATTAAACACATGAAATAACTTATTTGAGGAGAATGAAGAATACCATCATCTCTAGCATGCATTAGGAGGGTTGGTCCCCATTCCATGTTTAGTTTATGATCATTAGCCACAGCTAAAGTCCTAACTAAACCTAAATTTCAACACTAAAAATACTGAAAGTGTTATTTTTTAAACATTTATGTGAACTTTGAATATCAGTGCCATGATTCTTCCTGGTTGAGTATCACATTTTTTAGCAAACAAACTGCCATTTCAATGTCACAATAACTTTCAAATTTATTGTAATCAGTGTGATTTTTTTTTTCTAAATAGGTTTTGAATCTGAGGTGTTCAATCTGTGAACACATTCAGATTACACTTCACGAAAATACAATCTTATTAATGAAAATAGTATTACCTGTAAATGTTTTGCCAGTCTCATTACTTAGTACGTATTTAAGTTTCAAAATATAAAATGTCTATGAACTGGCCCTTCTTATAAGGTCAAAAACCAGGGCAAAATGTCCAAGGCAAGTAGGGAAATGGCTACTTATGGTAGTTTTGAATGTTTTTGACCAGAAACATGAAGTTGATATTTAAAATACAATTATTTTACAAAGAATAGAAGAATAAAAGACACCTCCGGCATCATGGTAGCCTTGCTCTGAAAGCATATAAATATCTTCCTTTAAAAGCGCCCTTCCCACAATTCCAAGTCACAGGCAGCATGACCAAATGATCTGACTGTAGAGCAATACTGCCCATAGTGAAGATGAAACCAAATCCTAGTTTCCCGACTCCTAGTCCACTGCTCTTTTCCTGTAACTACCAAGCTTATCAAGTCATTTTAAGCACCAAGGGCCTGATGTGTAACAACAGCTGGCCTAACAATGGCAAATGAAGCCTGTCTCTGAGTGCTTTCCTCTTACCGCCCCACGGTGGGGTCTTATCACAAACTCTACCCAAGTTTCTCAGCACAAACACTTCACCTTTGGTTAGTCACTAACCAAACTAATCTGGAGCAGCTCAGTTTATAGTAATACATATCAGAGTAGTGGATCTTTAGAGAAAAATTAGTTTGGTTAGGAACTGAGGTACATGCCAATGCTCAGGAAAAAACACATGAAAGAACATCTTGGTTTGTTGATTCGATAGCTCACTGGGATGAGCTATTACAAATACTAAGTATTTTAATCTGAGTATTTTTCCTAATTATAAAGGGAGTAGATGTATGTTACAGAAAATGAAGAAAACATAGAAAGTAAAAGAAAAAAAACTGCAGTCTCATTGCACAGGAAAAAAAATACAGGCAGTTCTTGCTTTTGTACGGGACTGTATTACCTGAAACCTGTGCATAATGCAACTATGTCCTTGCCTTACGTGGTTCTGTCATAACTGAGATCGTAGTGCCTGTACTGCAACATTCACATTTTTCTTCCAAAGTTTTCTTTATGTACATATTTTTAAAAAATATTAACTTGGCATATTATATTGCTTTTAGTTTTACATGCTTTTTTAATAAACTTTTCTCAAGATGCTCAATATTCTTTAAGAGTGTGAATTTATAAGAATATGATTTCTAAATTTTCCATTCTATAGATACACTGCAATTTAACACACACCTTTCAATTCAAAATGTAGCCTGCTTCCAATCTTTTGCTGTTATAAATAATGCTGTGATGAGTATCTTGGTTTGAAAATTTGTGGGTATCTCTAATTAGTTCCATAGGATAAATCCCTAGAAGTGAAATTGCTGGGGGAAATGGCATGAACATCCTTAAGGTTCTTAATAGTATTACCAAATCTCCATCTCACATTAGAGTTCTTTCAAAAGAAGCTGAATAGTGGCAGCTAAGGTAATCTTTTATGAGCTCCTAAAAATAAATGGGTGCCCCTTTCCTCCCACATGTTCACTGAGATCACTGGAAGTTAACCCTCGAATTCTCTTTCTGCCATTCCACTACATTTCTATGGAGTTCTTAAAAAGAATATGACCACTATTCCTTTACTTTTACAGACTGCTCACAGTATAAGCCTCCTAGATTTCCTCTAGTCTTTTCTTCTTTCATCAAGAGGAGGAACATTTTTAAATTTCAAACTCAACTCTGAGACACAGACTAAACTTACGAGCACTTCTGGAATTAAACAGACCTGGGTTCAATTCTAAACCCAGGCATTTCCTAATTGTATGACCTCAGGCTAGTCACTTGATCCTTCTAAGCCTGTTTCCTCATCTATAAAAAGGGATAATGCTACTGCTTACACCCTAGGATTGTTCTAAGATTAAATAAGACAATACTGTAAAGCGTGAGGTATTTGTTCCCAGAATACTGCATGGTATATAATGCATTTCATAAACATTAGATATTATTATAACGAGATTTCCCAAAGCCCTGTTTACATCTGACATAAAATAACAGACTAGTTAATCTAATTTTAGTGCTAACAGGCAGCACTAAGATAAAATTGCCAAATCTTCACAAGAAGAAAGAAATAGTATTTTATACTTGAGTGAACACACTTTTAAAAAAAGTCATGTCTATAAGTTCCTTAACAAATTCTGAGAATATGCCACATCTACTATTCACATTACCCCAACCTAAGTCTCCCTCCAGTAAGCTTCATATATTACTTAAGATTCAGATTTAGCTGATTCTCTTTCTTTGAAATACTGATAGAAGAATTTATGAAACAAGTCTCCCTCACTCCCAAATATTAAACAAAACGAGATTAATGAAAGAGCCTGTTATTACCAATATTTCTTTACAATATAAACAGTTTCAAGTTTTTACCAAGGACCTATTATACAGAATTTTTTCCTTTCTTTAATACAAGGGAAATGCAGTGATCATAAAAGATACCATAATATGCACATGGCACTATGTTAGGTATTCCATAATCTGAGATCAGAGATATAACAGAGTTTTATTAAATACTGAACAGCAGGAATGACCAACAGTTCAACAATGTCATAAATGGTTCTGGGCTTGCTAATAATGAATTTCAATCAAAACAGAAGGTAAAAAACTGATATAAAAATACTTACTTTATACTTGCTAGCTTTTACTAGTCAGCTGTTGAAAACATTAGCTTTAACATATGCACAAAGATATAAGCACAAACATATTCACAGAGAATCCCATTTCCAAAAGGACTGCTCAGTCTTGGCTGGTTAAATATATAACAAATTTAAGATTTTAGTATACTGGCTAATACTGATGGGGAAACAAGAGCATTTCTGTTTGTCTTCTTCCATAAAGTTATCAACTATCACTATCATTAATATATAACCTACCATTTTTGTTTCTAGTAGTTATCAGGAGCCAAGGCATGCTAACAAGCCTAAAACTAAGAAAGCTGTCACTATCATAAAGGACTAGCCAAATGGGCCAGGTAAAGCAGGAATGTAGAAACCAAAAGCAGGCAACACCAATACATCCAGAATCTGTGGCGATCTGTTTAGAAGATCTAATTTCCAGCTAGTTTCAGTAAAGGCTACAGAGATATAATTTTATTAACATGCTGCATATGTGAAAATAATACAGTATTCTCTCAATTTTCTAACACTGGTTCTAGGAAACTAGAAAAGGGACAATAAAGCACACTGCATATATCTATCAACTTACACACACAGAGAAAAATCAGCACAGATGTTAAGTGCTCAGAGAGTCTCAAACCGACTTCTAGTAAATCAATCTAATTCACAGTTCATGTCCAACATACCTAAAACCACAGAACAAACAAAGCACAAGATAAGGCTATATAAAATTGGGGATTCTCCTCATTCTAAGATGACTTGTTGGTTCAGCAGAGCAACAACTGATCAGTTTAGGGCCGAGGGAGGAAAAGAGGGAGAAATTGACCAAAAAAAGGAGAGTACACTATAAGGCATACTCTATCTGGATATTTAGATTACCGAGTTTTAGCAGGAAAATGAATCACCTCAAAATATATTTATTATGCTTATCTAACCATGGTAACATGTTTTATATAAAGAAATAGTAATTCCTCAAAGAGTTTCCCAAACACTTAAAGATTCCAAGCTTTATAGTCAAGATTTAGTACCTTGGAAATGGCTAAATCTTGGCAGATACACAAATGAGTATTGAAAGTTATGATTTTATTTAATATGCAGCAAACATACTGTTGGAAAGTTACACACCCAGCTTCTATCAAACTTGTAACTGAGTAGGTACTCTGTAAAGAACAACCCATCATCTTTCAGCTTCCTGATTAGGCATACTTGATTTTTGGGGAAAGATCGAAGTTTCTGGGGGATAAAAATCAACACTCTCAGAAACTGCTTATAATAGAATGCCTTACCGAAAGGAGGTAGTCCATATGTTTGGGTTGCCTGAGGGTAGACAGCATAGGGTTGAGACTGCTGTAGTGTCTGGTACGGAGTCTGCCCAGGGTAAGCAGTTTCCGACACAGGAACTGAGAGGATATGTGCATAAGGTCTAGAAAAGTTCAAGAAAATAAAAACTTTCATGTGTGATTTATTTTTAATGAAAAACAGAGGAAATAGTTAATACCACTAAAAGCAAAAAATCAGCAATGAGGAGACTAACCTTCCACATACAATGTCTCTTACTACGGTCAGAAGGTACAACTAATTTTTCCTTTCCAGATTCTACTATCACCTAAGAAACATTTTTATGGGAAATTTAGTAATTCCAAATATCCTCCCAAGGTCCAATTACTATGCTACAACCATTTGTGATACACTACATGCAAACTTGTAGATAGAATGAACGCCTAATGTAACCGAAAGCTGGACAGATTGGGACTCAACAACTGGTTCTTATTCTCCACCCAGCCCTCTGGGCCAAACAAGTTCTAAGAGGGAGAGCAGGACTTGAGAGAGGGTTAGGCGGGTAGAGAAAAGGCAAGCAACCACTATACATCAAAGAACAGGGAGTAGGGGTGGGCCCCAATATCCCCAGATCAAGCCTACAAAACAGGAGCCAGATAACTAATAAAATCTGAGAAGTCCCAGGCAGGATTCAGAATCTCCCTACTGATGTTTAAGCCAGAGTATACTGCCACTAGTTGCAGCCAACCACATCAGGTTTAGCTAGGGAATTTGAATTCAGCAGTAAAACTTCTGGGACTTTAGCTAAATGACCTGGTCATTTCATCCATGCAATAAAATGGTCCCACACTTTGTGCACTGAATATTTAGATACCAGTTATTTTATTTGGTATTATGCTGTACTTACAATGCAAGTGTTTTGTGTACCACATAAATCTGAACAATAAAAATATTCGGAGAAAGGAATGTTTCAGAAGGGGAAAACATTTTTTTCAGCTTTGGGGGAAAGGAAAATGAAGTAAGGCTATAAAGAAGCAGTATGTGAGCTGAGCAAATAAGACATGCAGAAATGGGAAAGAAAGGGTGTTCAAGGAAAAGAGAAAAACTCTGGGAAAGGTACAGAGGAAGGCAAACAGGGCTTAAGCCTACAAGGAGCATAGATTATATTAAAGGACATATATAAAGTGAAGCGGAGTAGCAAAAGAAGGAAAGATAGCAAAGACCTTGAATACCAGGCTGAGTTCAGACCAATCTGAAACAACTGGGAGTCGCCGAAATTGTTGAGCAAAGAGTGACAAGATCAGAGCTGTTCTTGAATAAAGATTAGTTTGACACTGCTTTGTAAAATGGGTTAGAAGGGGTAGAAAGTTGAAGTAGAGTTAAAAAATAGCTATAATGCAATGGTTCACATAAGTGCTAAAGAGGTCTGAATTAAGAGAGAATGCATAGCTAATAAGGTGTCCTGAATGCAAAAGGTATGTAAATTATTTTTTGAATAGGCAGATGAATTTGGAAAGCACCTCCATCTTCACATCTGTTCTTCTTAGCTAGATCTGAACCAAGAAATAGCTCAGGTTGTAGCTGTTAATCAAGTCAATAATTTAAAATCTTTGTGACTTCAAATGGATTGATCTCCAGATATGTTAAAGATCATAATATCCTTTTTTCCTGTAGTGTCTTTATAGCTCAAAGTATTTTCTTATTTCCTTCATAATGATCTCAGAGAATAGGTTCAGTCATTTCACAGAAGAAAATCATACGAAAACAACTGGTCCAATTACTATTAGTGTTAAATACCAGATTAGAATTTGGAGAACTCATTGAATTGACCTTTTAGTTATTTGTTAACTGATGAAAAATTCAAAAGGTATAAACAAGCACAAAAAGGAAAAAAAAATGCCAGTTTTCTTTTTATAAACAGTCCCATAGGTATCAGTCACCTCTGTTACCAATTCCTTTATGTGTTCTGCCTATGTAAGCACCTGGGAATACGTCCAACTTCAATAAACACACTCACACGTATCTATCGACGTACGTGCAGGCTTACTCTTTATCAACGCCCATTTGCTAGTTTGGCATACACCCAGTTCTGAACCTGCTCATCTTGGAGATGATTAGCCTGTGGATCTTAAATGCTGATCTTACCTGTTGAAGGCCCAAAACGTTGCCTCTTAGTGACTTCAACCCGCTAAGCCTAACTTCAAGCCTAATTCTACTTTGAGGACATTCCTAAAGCAAGAAACTGAACATAGATTAGGCTGAGAAGTCCCACTAGGAGGCTGGCTTGTGCTGTGTTTATTGATCTAGCAAGGTAGAGGAAAGAGAGAATGACCAGAAGTCAGTCACTGATATGCTTTGATCATGAACAGTATTTTTCATTTTCAGTGGCCATTCATTTACAGCAAGCTCCTGGGTAACAGTGATCTATTCCAGGCAACCATCTACTTTCTAAAAGCATGTTACAAAGACTCTACATTTAGAGGGAATAAAAAAAGTGGAGTAGGGTCAGAAAACATGAGAGGTGAAATGAAGTTAAATGTCCACTTAATAAGTTAAATATCAAATTAAATTTTGAAATGAACCTAGAGAAAAGGCATATAGATTTTTGAAATAATTATTGAACTTACTTTGCAGAATACATTTGTGAGGTATAATCATTGGATGAGCGAGGGATGTAATCGGTGCATGTCATAACTGAAAGAAAGATATCACCAGGTAAAAAGTTAGAACATTTCAAAAATGAAATGAGAAAATTGCATATCTCATTGTAGAGTCTTTCAAACTAAATAACAGATTACAGCTTGGACATGAGAAATTTAGAACGACTAAGCAGTAGAAAATTCCTCTCTCTTACAGTAATGGGTTTAGAGACTTTTAGAGACAGTAAAAGAAGCCAGAATGTGGGGGGTATGGGAAAGAGCTGAAGGTTAGTACCAGTTGATCTCTATCTTTATCCATCACTGATCTAAAGCCACAGATGAAGTAACTTCCTAAGCTTTCACTGTGCTCACAGGCAAACTTAAAAAGCAAGATCCATAGCTAAGAAACCGCATTACACTTCTTCAGCTTATTCGTTCTCTGGGTGCTTCCACTCATGTGAGTAAAAAGCCCTAAGAATGACTTGCAGGAAGACAGATTTGGGGGGGTGGGGAGTACTCCATTCTATTAGAAAATTGTTGCTACTGCTGTGTATAATGCAGCAAAAGATGCAAGTATGCTTCCATACCACTATTTTTTCAGCTCTGTGGTGAAGGCTTTCAAGTTTGGCAAAGCAAAGACAGATCTGAGGAACTGATGTGATGCTCTGATGAACCATCAAGTAGAAACTTTCATAGCTAGTGTCCTCTTGACCCCTATGACTTCATCTAAAATAGCTGCTGTGAAGGTTTAACCCTCATGATTTCATCTGTAAATATTCAACTCAAGTCTGACAGGTAGCAGAATCCTATTCACTAGGCACTCTTTCAGTCCATGCTGTAGACAGAGTTATATCAGAAAGAACCTGTACCAGACCCCTGAACTGTCCAAGTACTTCCTTCAACATCTGAAAAGGAGGCTGTTCTACTATTAATAAGGATTAAGAGTAAAACCAACTAACTTTATGTCTAGCTGGGTTTCCTGAGTGTCTGAACTAAAAAGGGAACTCTGGTCAAGAGCACATGAGGGGCCAATTCATGGCCAATAGTAAGGCAAATTGACATCTTGTCCACTGCCATTGTTCAAGGTCTTTAAAAATAATTACTGGAAATTTGTAGACCACATTCATCCATAATAATTTTGACAAAAATGAAAGAGATCTCAATTAGTCTAAAGTTCTTCACATCCATCACAGAGAATATAACTTCATTTGAATTCTGCATGATGGTTCCTTCCCTGCTGACAACTACTTTCCAAAACCCAAACCCTTTTCCTCCTCTGATTTAATTCTAGAAGAGATTGACAAAACATCCTGGGAGATTTAGGCTGATATTTACTTCTTTAAAGAATGAATGAGGCTTTATCTTTGCAGTACTTAGGAACCGTGAAAGGATTATAAACAGTCAAGGCATAATACTGCTATAATATTAGAATAGCAGCAGTGGAGATGAGGTGCAAACTTGAAATACATTCTGAAGGTAAAACGACATTCTGATGGATCTGTACGTAAGGAATGAGGAAAACGGGAATATGGGATAATTTCTACGTTTTCGGCTTAAGAAACTGGAGGGACAGTGAAACCACTTCCTAAGATGGGGCAGTTTGGGAAAAGAAGAGATTTGAGGGGGGCTAAGGGAATAAAAAGCTTTCCCACATTTTTTTTTTTAAGATTTTATTTATTTATTTGAGAGAGAGAATGAGATAGAGAGAGAGAGCATGAGAGGGGGGAGGGTCCGAGGGAGAAGCAGACTCCCTGCTGAGCAGGGAGCCCGATGCGGGACTCGATCCCGGGACTCCAGGATCATGACCTGAGCCGAAGGCAGTCGCTTAACCAACTGAGCCACCCAGGCGCCCTTCCCACATTTTTTTAAAAGATTTTATTTATTTGTCAGGGAGAGCGAGCAAGCACAAGTAGGGGGAGCAGCAGGCAGAGGGAGAGAGAGAAGCAGGCTCCCTGCTGAGCAAGGAGCCTGACGTGGGACTTGATCCCAGGACCCTGGAATCATGACCTGAGCCGAAGGCAGACGCTTAACCAACTGAGCCACCCTGGCATCCCAAAAGCTTTCCCACATTTTAAGTATGACTTTCCTTTCAGATATCTAAGTTGTGATGTCAAATAGGCAGTTGGATATACAAACGAAATCAGGGGAGAAGTCAAACTGGAAATATAAATTTGGAATTCATCAGCAATGTATACAATATTTAAAGTAATGTAGTGGATGAGAGAATGCAGAAAGAGAAAAGAATGCTGGACTAGAAATAAATCCTGAGGCCCAACATTCAGAGTTCAGGCAGAGGAAGAAGGACCAACAAAAGAGAAAGGTGGGAGGAAAAGTGGTGAGAGGCAGAATATGAGAAGAAACATCCAGTAGATGTTCCACTACTCTCAGAATAACTGCAAGTTAACTAATGACCTTGAGAGGAGCAATTTCACTGGAAGAGTGGTGACAGAAGCTAAATTTGAGAGGGCTGAAGAATGAATGGGAGGCAAGAAAACAAGAAAGGGCAACTCTTTCCAGAAGTTCCAATGAGTCATGGAAAAAAGAAAAGGTCTGTAACTAGTGGGGAACATGGAGCCAAAGGAGGATTTTGTTTGTGTTTTAAAATGGCAGATACGGGCGCCTGGGTGGCTCAACTGGTTAAGCGACTGCCTTTGGCTCAGATCATGATCCCAGAGTCCCAGGATTGAGTCCTGCGTCGGGCTCCCTGCTCAGCGGGGAGTCTGCTTCTCCCTCTGACCCTACCGCCTCTTGTGCTCTCTCTCTCTCAAATAAATAAAATCTTTAAAAAACAAACAAACAAATAAATAAATAAATAAAATGGCAGATACTCCTGTGCGCTTACGTGGATCCTCAAAAGCCTTCCCTGTTCTTGTGGTGGAAGGAGATTGGACCACAGGATTGCAGGCAAAAGAACCCCAACAATGAGGAATAGATGCTATTCCTGCATCACCACAAGCCAAAGAACAATCTAGTCAAAATTCGTAAAGGACCTTATACAATTTGCCCCAAGTTCTTATTGTGAGAAAACTGAAATCATTGTGACAATGAAGAATGGGAATCAAACATGTCTAAACCTAGATTCGGCAGATGTGAAAGAACTGATTCAAGAGTGGGAAAAACAGGTCAGCCAAAAGAAAAAGCAAAAGAAAGGGAAACGATATCAAAAAAGCAAGAAAGTTTTAAAAGTTAAAAAATCTCAACAACCTCATCAAAAGACCACATAAGCAACCACTTTACCAACAAGTGTTTTGTGTTAAAAAGGTTCTTTTTAATTATACTGAAATAATTCCAAAAGGGGATGGCGTCCTAATACATAAGCTTTTTTTTTTGACTAGAAAAGTTTAAGCATTGTTGTGAAATTATAAGTAAAGCTAGAAAGTTGCTTTTAAAATCCAAATGTTAATAAAAAAAAAAAATGGCAGGTACTGTGTCATGTCTCTTTACTGACAGGAAGGATTAAGAAGAGAAGAAGAATGTGATGATGCAGGTGCAGTCTTAGTTACAACAATACCAAAGTCCTTGGGGAGGGTAAGAAAGGGTTAGCTACAGAGCCCAAATAAAAGGTCTTACTGTTGACAGGAGCAAGAATACTATTTCCGTCCTGGTAAGAATGAAGCAAGAAAACATGGGTACAAACGCAGGTAGGCTTGATGATTTGGTGGTGGTGGGAGGATAAGGAGGTTTCTTGTCTGACAACTTCTATTTGCAATAGAGCCATCGGTTAAGAATGAGGAAAGGTAAGTGAGGATATGGGTACTTGAAGAGGAAAGTAAGTGCTGTGAAATATCAAAAGGTAGAATTCATTAGGGAAATGTAGTAGGATTTCCAAGCATGCTGGGTGCCTACTTGAGGCCTTGTGAGTAGTAAGTCAGCTAGCTATATAATTTATCCAATAACGTTTAGCTACGTGAATGCACGTAAAGGGCAGATGGAGAGTATTAAATTAGGACTGGGGTTTAGCAAGGAGAGTACAAGAGGCAAAGTTATCGAAGGTATTTGTAAGGGAACAATTATAATAAACAGCTACAAGAATCCATATGGAGTAAGAAGGGCCATAAAGGCCGACAGATATGATGACAGGTATTGGACAGGTCATCTACATGGATTTTGAAATCACCAAGAAGAGTAAGAGTTTGGATGGAGAAGAAAACCAAGAAGACCTAGTCTTTAAAGAGCAAAATGACTAGGAGTTCAGAAAGGTAGAGGAGGCATAAATATAAACTTCAAAGGAACTGGAGGTTTTGGAGGGAAAAAGAGAAAGAGAAATGGTCTGGAAGGAGCAAGAAGACTCAACTTACTTCCTGGCCCTGGAATATATAAGAAACAGGTCTTTTTCTTGGGGATGAGTGGGACATTAAAAAAATCAGAGAGACTTTTCCCTGATTAGAGGAGTTTCTCACAGTCTGGACAGTTTCTCATATGCATCAGAATCACCTAGCTATCTTCTTGAAAATATAGATTCCCATCCATATCAGATCTGATCTGAATGATAATCTCTGAAAATGAGGCCACAATTCTACATTACAAACAAGCACTCCAGATGATTCTTAAGTACACTAAGAGCTGGAGAACCACTAGAATAGTACCTTTGAGGAAATAATATACATAGCTCAAAATACACTATTTCCTTCCTTCCTTCCTTCTCTTGTTCCTTCCTTCCTCTGTCCTTTTTTTTTTAAGACATATCATTTTCTAATACATGGAAGTACGTCAAGTTAAGCATAACCATTTAAGAGAAGAAAAATCCCCTAAACAAGTGTCTTTTTAAAAAGTGTCTTATACAAATTTATTCTTTTAAAGGTAAAATATGGAGAAGCACTGATACTTAGTTCCAGGGATGACTATTTGTCCTATGGAGGCAACCTGGGGGCATATGTGGGTATGCTAGAGAAAACTTACATCTCTGCAAAAAAAACAAACCGAGAACACTCTACAAATTTTTGTCCATTATATGAAAGTATCTTTTCTATAGGAGAAAGCAGGTTGGTGAGTGGAGGATGTATCTTATTGGGCTGGATCTCCCCCAGGGCCCAGTATCAATTTTGGGCTCTTAAG